TATTGTTTCCTACCATCGTTCTTGATAACTATTGGAGAGGAGGACCTACCATCACGTCTGGGCTTGCTTGCTGAATCTACCAAGAAGCAAACTTCAAAGTTAAGTGTCGAGGAATCTGGAATTGATATCTCAGCAGTTCTTCAATTGTTGGTAGCAAACAAAAATATCATATTATGCCCAAGCAATCTTGATACAGATTTGAATTGCTGTCTGTGTGTGAATTTAATCTCTCTACTCCATGACCAGAGAAAGAATGTGCAAAACATGGCATCTAATATAATCAAATATTTGCTGGTTCACCGAAAATCTGCTTTGGAGGATTTGCTTGTCAAAAAACCACACCGAGGACAAAAATTTGATGTACTACACGGGGGTTTTGATAGATTGCTGACTGGAAATCTTCCAGAATTCTCTAAGTGGCTGAAGAGCTCCGAACAAATTATAAGTAAAGTACTGGAGCAGGGTGCTGCAGTTATGTGGATACAGTACATGGCTGGCTCGGCAAAATTTCCTGATGTTAGAATGAAAGGCATGGATGGTCGCCGCACGAGAGAGATGGGGAGAAAATCACGAGATACGTCGAAGTTAGACCTGAAACACTGGGAGCAGGTAAATGAGCAAAGATATGCACTTGAAGTTGTGCGTGATGCAATGTCGGCTGAGCTTAGAGTTGTCCGGCAAAATAAATATGGTTTGATTCTTCATGCCGAGAGTGTCTGGCAAAGTCACCTCCAACATCTTGTACATGAGCGTGGTATATTCCCATTGCGTATTTCCCGTGGAACTGAAGATCATAAATGGCAACTCTGTCCTATTGAAGGTCCATACAGAATGCGTAAAAAACTTGAACGATGTAAACTGAAAATTGATAGCATCCATAATTTACTAGAAGGGAAGTTGGAACTTAGAGAAATAGAGCTACTCAAATCCGAAAATGAAGATGTTCTAGTTATTTCTGATATGGATTCTGAGCCAGCTTTCCTGCTAAGTGAACTTTACAGCGAGTCCTTTTCCGAGGAGGCTGATGATCTAAAGGATGTTCGCTCTGCTAGAAATGGATGGAACAGTGATCGATCAAGTAGTAAAAATGAGGCGAGTCTTCATAATGCTCTTTCTTTTGGTGGCAAGTCTAGTACTACAGCAGCATCTGTACCAATAAGCGACAACACAGATGAAAAATCAGAGACTGGATCTCCAATAAAGTCATCATCTTCTGGTAAAATGGATGAAATCAGAGCTGTGGAGGAAGAATCAGAGAAGGAATTGAACGATAATGGTGCGTATCTAATCAGACCTTATCTGGAACATCTTGAAAAGATTAGGTTCCGATATAACTGTGAGAGAGTTGTTGGTTTGGACAAACATGATGGGATCTTCTTAATAGGGGAACTCTGCCTATATGTGATAGAGAACTTTTACATTGATGATCATGGGTGTATCTGTGAGAAGGAATGTGAAGACGAGCTATCCGTTATTGATCAGGCTCTAGGTGTGAAAAAACAATTTACCGGAAGCTTGGAATCCCAGTCCAAGTCTAGCACATTATGGAGTACAACAATAAAAATCGGCGCTGTAGGGGGAAGAGCATGGGCATATGGTGGTGGAGCTTGGGGGAAGGAAAAAGTGCGTGTGACTGGTAACTTGCCACATCCTTGGCGTATGTGGAAGCTGGATAGTGTTCATGAGATTTTAAAACGTGATTACGAGCTACGTCCAGTTGCTGTTGAGATATTTAGCATGGATGGATGTAATGATCTCCTTGTGTTTCACAAGAAAGAGAGGGAAGAAGTCTTCAGAAATCTCCTTGCCATGAATCTTCCAAGGAACAGCATGTATGGCATCTTGTAGCTTTTCATCTCAGCATATTCCCTTTTTCTCATTTTACTTTTTAGTCATGAATAAAAATGTCAAGTTAAGCTCAAGAGCCTGAGGCCCTTCCTAAATCTATGAAGATGTTGTTTATTCTGTTTGTTTTTCTTTTCAGGCTTGATACAACCATATCAGGATCAGCGAAACAGGAAAGTAAAGAGGGTAGCCGTATTTTCAAATTGATGGCAAAGTCTTTCACGAAAAGATGGCAAAATGGGGAGATCAGCAATTTCCAATACCTAATGCATCTCAACACCCTAGCAGGACGTGGATACAGTGATCTCACACAGTATCCAGTATTTCCGTGGATTCTAGCAGATTATGATAGCGAGAGTCTTGATTTGTCAGATCCAAATAATTTTCGCAAGCTTGACAAACCAATGGGTTGCCAGACGCCTGAAGGAGAAGAAGAATTTAGTAAACGGTTTGTGATGTGCATCTTAAACTTGATTTAGAGCTTTTATTTTGTGTTCTTCACCATACGATTTTCCCTTTTTAATTAGTTATGCTTTCATCATGTTGTAATCATATCCAAGAACTGCTTCTCATGTTTTCCTTCTCCCTTTCTCATTTCAGATATGAGAGCTGGGATGATCCAGAGGTTCCAAAATTTCATTACGGTTCTCACTATTCAAGTGCTGGCATTGTTTTGTTTTACCTTATTCGCCTCGCACCATTCAGTGCTGAAAATCAGAAGCTGCAGGGTGGTCAATTTGATCATGCTGATCGACTTTTCAATAGTATTAGAGAGACTTGGCTTAGTGCAGCTGGAAAAGGAAATACATCAGATGTGAAAGAACTAATTCCTGAATTTTTCTACATGCCTGAATTCTTAGAAAATAGATTTAACCTTGATTTGGGTGAAAAACAGTCAGGGGAAAAGGTAGCTTAAGTTGTTCTAATGGTTCTTATGTTCCTTTTACTTCTCTGTTTCCCTTTTATGAGCAAGTTCCTTGTATAATGTCAGGTGAGTGATGTAGTTTTACCTCCTTGGGCTAGAGGGAGCGTTCGTGAATTCATCCGCAAGCACAGAGAAGCTTTGGAGTCTGATTATGTTTCAGAGAATCTGCATCACTGGATAGATCTCATCTTTGGGCACAAACAGAGAGGAAAGGTACATTAAATGTTCTCCTTTTGGTAGTCAACAGAGAATCGAACTATCATGTCTTAGAGATGTTGCTTCTTAAAATATCGAATCATGAGGCTGTTTATTTTCAGGCTGCAGAAAATGCTGTTAATGTTTTCTATCATTACACCTATGAGGGGAATGTGGATGTAGATGCAGTTACGGATCCTGCCATGAAAGCATCCATACTAGCACAGATTAATCATTTTGGACAAACGCCGAAGCAACTGTTCCAGAAACCTCATGTTAAAAGAAGGACAGACAGAAAATTCCCTCCGCACCCTCTGAAACACTCGATGCATCTTGTTCCTCGCGATATACGTAAATGCTCATCATCTGTAAACCAGATCATCACTTTCAATGATAAGTTGCTTGTTGCCGGATCCAACTGTTTCCTGAAACCCAGAGGCTATAAGAAATACATAAGATGGGGTTTCCCAGACAGGACCTTGAGATTTATGAGCTATGATCAGGACAAGCTCTTATCCACCCATGAAAATCTCCATGAAGGCAACCAGATCCAGTGTGCTGGTGTTAGTCATGACGGGCGCATTGTGGTCACTGGAGCAGACGATGGTCTAGTCTCTGTGTGGAGAGTCAGCAAGGATGGCCCACGTGGTTCACGACGTTTACAGTTAGAGAAATCCCTTTGTGCACACACAGCCAAGGTCACTTGTCTACGTGTAAGTCAACCTTACATGATGATTGCAAGCAGTTCAGATGACTGTACAGTTATCATATGGGATCTCAGTTCTTTAAATTTTGTGAGGCAGCTTCCGAATTTTCCGGTTCCCGTTTCAGCAGTCTACATAAATGACCTTACAGGAGAAATCGTAACTGCTGCTGGAAGTGTACTTGCTGTTTGGAGCATCAATGGCGATTGCCTTGCTGTGGTTAACACATCACAATTACTATCTGATTTGATTGTATCAGTAGCAGGATCAACGTTTTCTGACTGGCTGGAAACAACATGGTACGTGACTGGTCATCAAAGCGGGGCAGTTAAAGTGTGGCGGATGGTACATTGTACTGATCCGGTGAGTGCCGGTAGTAAAACACCTAGTAACAGAACAGAAGGACTAAATTTGGGGAATCAGAAGCCAGAATACAAATTGCTTTTACACAAGGAGTTGAAATTCCATAAGCAAGCGGTCACAGCTCTGCATCTCACGACCGACCTGAAGCAATTACTGAGCGGCGATTCAGCTGGACATTTGCTTTCATGGACAGTACCAGAGGAGATATTAAAAGCTTCACTCAGAAAAGTTTCATAGTTTAGAATCAAAAGCATCATCTAAAACTAGGACTAGAATCTAGAGCAATCACTGATGATCAGGAGACTTAAGGACAAATCACTGAAGCACCTAGGAGGTAGATCAAAGTCAAAATGTAAGACCTCAGGGCAAAGTCTTTCCTTTGTGGAGTCTCTTACCTCGCATCTGATTCTTTTTCCTCTGATTTGCAGAGTAAATGTTGTTGCTAAATGGAGAAAAAACAAAGCAAGACAGAATCCCGTGGATCTGACAATAACTTAATAGGGAATTGTGTGTATATAAGTACTAGACTATTCTGCATAGAATAAGCTGAGCAAATATAGTATTAGAGAGCCCCATATATATTTTTCTCAGATGAAATTATGTAATCATTTATATTGTTGTTATTAGTAGCTTAGGGACTTTTAAATTGGATTATTGCTTCAACATCAATGGTTATGTCTTATGTTAATAACCTGTTGTCATTATGTTTGGTGCTTTGTTTCTTATGAAGACAAATATTAGAAGTACAGAAATTTGGGGATAGTATTACATTTTCTAATTTTGGGGAACTTTAGAATCTGAAAGTAGGAGAAAACATTACGTTTGAAGGGAAATTGAAGCGGTTGCTACCTTATATAAATTTTAAATATATAAACATATATTCTATTTTCGTGGGGTTTCGAATCCTAGTATACTAAGACAAAAATACTCGTATAAACCCAAATTAAAAAGAAAAAAAAAATCAACTCAAAATAGTAAACAAGTGTTTTAACTTTTCAACGTCAATCACAGAACAAATCAATGAAAAGCACAAGATACATTAGACAGGAGTTTCGAACCTCCCAACCATTTATCCATAACATACTCTTTCACTTTCTTCTCATCATTTCCAAACACATTACACATCGCCTTAACATAGTGAGCTGGAAACTTTCCGGTTATCCTCACATAGAACATGACGGCACGAGCCATGTCTCTGCACAAATTGTCCCTAAGAGAGTCGAAGATTGACGTCTTGTGTTCGAGTGAAGAGCTTGGTGGTTGTGACCTGTTGATGTTTCTTCGTATGCAAGATTCCTGGGGGTTTAAGGGAGGAGCAGCAGAGATAGCGAGGAAGGTCGCAAAGAAGACTACGACGAGGATGCCCATGGAAGTCTTCATTGCTTTAGGCTTCTCTTGTTGTTTCTGTGAAGATTACAAGTGCATAGAAATTTTTATATAGTAGTAATGAGAGATTTAAAACTTGTTTCGCATTAAACAAAAGCTCAGTTTACTATGTTAAAAATTGGGGGTTTCATCAGTTTCACTTATGTATCAGTTTGGTTGTTTTCATAGGTTTTGTTCACAAATTTCATAATTTTATACTTTGTTATTAAATAATTTATGTGTTGTAGAACAGTAGAAGAGTTTTGGAATGTTAAAATTCGAAAGATAATCATTCCAGAAGCAAGTATAAAAGACTTGCCTTTGACAAAAAAAAAAAAGTATAAAAGACACATCTTATGTTTCTGGTATTTTCTTATATTCTTTTAAGTTTACAAAGTAAGTAAATGACCAGAATAAAGAGTTTACACACAATATAATGTTAGAGTGACAACAAAAAAGAAGCTAACACCTTTCTTTCAAGCTCTTCAATGGTGATTGTATGTTTTTATAATTTCAATAGCGAGGCGTGTAAGAATAAGGTCCCATGGAGTATGGAAGCTGATAAAGTTGTTGCTGTTGGTTTTGTCCGAAATTCATGTGACCTTGTCTTCCATTTCTGTTGTACTGATCCCACATTATTTGTTCTTCCATTAACAATCTTTGTTTTTTCTCCATATCATTCATTTGCACGTATGCTGGTGGGGCTACCTCTAGCGACGCCGCAAATGGGTCCACCATTACCGGACTTTTGCTTCCGATTCTGTTTCCGTTGGCTGGCGCTGGCAATGCCAACATTGAGGCTGCATCACCATTTAGATACAAAATCAAAACCAATTTGAAGTACTGAAAATAATTTGTGGGATTTAACTCTTTTAAACTAATATAAAAATTGAAAAATGATTTTCATTTTAAATTTTGTTTACCTGCTGGTCTTCCTGCAGAACCAAAAGCCACACTACTCGCACTTCCACTACTTCCATAAGCCGTAGACGTTTTAACCGCAGCATTAACCGCACCGTACTGATACATTCCATCAAGCAACAAAGTATCAAATCCTCCTCCAAGCTCATTCTTTTGTCCCGACAATCTCGTTGCCGATTTCACCAAGTCTGTCTCCCAATCCGCCGAATTATCGTTAAATGCTTCCCACCCCGGTCCAGATGCACTCTCAGTGGATACCGCTCCATCAAATAATGCTAACGCCAAACTATCACCAACCGTTCCTGCCGTTTCACCCGCTTCATCTGTTAAATCCAGCAAATCACCCTCTTGACCTTGTCTTGAAACCACTTCCTCAGAATCTTTCTTTGTTTCCATTTTTTCTTCTTCTTCTTCGTGTTTCGGTGCTGGTAATGCTTTAATGGAGTTTAAATCTTCTTGATTTTCTTGAATTTCCTCTGTTTTGTTCTCCTCCTCCTCAGATTTGTTAGACTTGTTTGATGATGATTTTGTTGATTGTGCAGCTAAAGCTGATTTATCTCTTATAAACTCATCCATGAGATCAAGTTTCTTCTGTGTGATCTTTTCCAATTCTGGATACTCTGAAGATCTTGCAACTCCCATGTTCTTACACCATCCGTAAAACGGATCTAACTCGTCAAACTGTTTAGAAACTCTACAGAAGATTTCATAGACTTTGATCGAATCATGAATGTCTAATTCCATGAATCGATCTATTAATACTCCCATGATCTCTGTTATGTTGTAGTATAACTGAAAACTCTCTTTTACTATCGGATACAAAGCCACAATCACCACTCTGTTGTTCTTTGCATTACCTGTAGCAGAGACCTAACTTGTTAACCAAGAAAGCCAAAAGTGGTAAAACGTGGGTTTCAAGGAAAGAGACTGGCTTGAAACTTTGACGCTCACCATAACATTTCTAATTGAAAGTAGTTAATTAATTATTACCTGTTGGACGACAAGCCAAGAACCGATCAAGAAGCTGTTGTAAATGTTGTACTCTGACGAAAATTTTCTCTGTTTTCATCTCTGTGACCGTTTTCGATTTAACCACAAAAGCTTTTGACCGAATGTTGGTACTGGTCTCTCGATGATCATCATCCTCGCCGGAATCACCATCACCACCACTGCGTTTCCCTCTCCTTCCTTGCATCCGGTAATCAAGACGTTCATCCAAATACAAAGCATAAGTCCGAACAAAAGCAGAGTAATCCCACGAATCAGACTGACTCGCATCTCTGAAATCAGACATGTTAAGCAATCTCGTTCCTCGTCTCGTCGCGAAGAATATCTCTTGCTCGTAGGCTCGATCGCCATCTGTTAGCAACCGTTGGATCAAAATCAAGGTTTTGAGAGCAACCGACCAGTTCTTGGTCTTGTTGAGCCGTCTCGAGAGAATTGTCACACAAGCGCTTACGTAGTTGCGTGAGTATGAAGTTAGGCTTAAGATCTCTCTGATGTATTTCTCCTCCGCTGGATAATCATCATGTCGTGTCGCTTTCACGACAGCTACTTCAAGTTCCGTTAAAGAACTGCTTCGACCTCCGACTTTGGCTAATCCTACGCTTGTTTGATCTTTCACGGCTCCTATTGCACGTTTTAGCTTACTTGAACCCATTTTGACTAACGTACACCGTAAAACAGAGGAAGAGAGAGAGGAGAAGAACGACGACTTTTTTCTTTTACTTGTTTGTCGTCGTCGTCTCTTTTTCTCCTCTGTTTTTTTTTTCCTTTGTTTTTTTCTGAAAGAGAAAATGTGGATGCTTGATCGATTTTCCATGGAAATCGCCGAGGTAGTCGGAATTTAATGATGGGGGAAATTAGAAAAGCCATGTGGGATATGATTTGACCTTTCTTTTTTTAAAATTTGATAAAAACAGATATCACTCTATTATTAGCTATAGATAGAAAGACGATTCTCAAATAAGAATCTTGTAATGTTATAAGACAGAGCTTATATAAGCCATGAGACTGTATTTTCACAAATGTTTTCTCATGATTCGTAACTTATACAACACTATGATATAGCGTGAAACTCGCTTCAAGTTTCATCAGTCCCCGCATTTTTTCGGCCTGTAAAATGAGCAAAAAAGGGGGAAACAGGAATCTGATATGTATATAAACAGGGATCATAGAACTTTCAAATGGTTTTAAATTTGTTCAATGGTCTTAAAAGAAAGAGCCATGTTTTAACTTACCATGCTAATTCGTTCTGAGGTTCAGTAGTCCACCCATACGGGTTGGCGCTTGGAGCAACATGGTGATTTTGCCCATCTCTTATTCTCTGCAACGGAGAGCTGGTTTGGGAGTTTAGTGATGGAGGAGGAACGAAATTGTTTCCGAGTCTTGGAGGTAGAATGGTTGGGATCCCGATGTTAGGATTTGACATATGGTTTAGGTTTGAGTGTGGTTGAAAAGCTGGAATAGTGCTACAAGAATCCATCCTGCTGTTACCAGTTAATGGCATTCTGTTGTTGTTATGTCCACTTGATCTCCCGAGAAGCATCGGATTCATTCCTGTTACTCTCTTCACGGTTTCTTCCGCCATTTTCACCTTAACATAACATAAAAATTACTATAACTGTATACCAAAAAAAAAAAACATAAGGGTAGTTCAGAAGACTTAAGTCTTCTTACCTTAGCTCTTAATGTCTCAATGTCAGCTTTAAGTATTCTATTGCCAACAGCAGCTTCATCATACTTGTGATTCATGTTGCTCAGTTGCTTAAGGAGTGACGAATGTTCACCCTTTAGCTCATTAACCTATCAAAATAGAAATTAGGTCTCATTAATAACATTCGACACAAAATTAAGGTGTTGAGAGGATATGATACAAAACCTGTGTTTCGAGATCACTAGTTTGCTCCTGCTTTCTCCTTCTAGATCGCCTAGCTGACTCACGATTTGACAGCATCCTACAAATATTTAAGGAAGAACAAGGCTCCATAACTAACTGTTTCCCTATAGACGTAATCTTCAAAAGACAAGAAATTGGTCATTACCTTCTAGATTTTTTTACGTCCTCTGGCTTCAAGGAACCAGTGGTTTCATTCTCTTCATCAAGGTCATCGTCATCAGAATATTCTCTCGACGATCCACTAGTAACCTGCTTCATTGGTACACCAGATTTTTTCACCTCAGCTGGTAAGGAAGAAGTAACACCAAGTTCTCCTGGGGTCATCAAAGAACCTACCACGATTAAAATTTTACTACGCGTAAGACTCTATCTAAAAGAGAAATGGGAGCGCTGAAATTATGATTTGCCACCTTATAGCCGTTCCTGTTTAAAAGAAATATTGAACTAACCACCAGAATCCATCTCAATCCCAATCCTATTGTTCTTCCAGGAAGCAGATTAATTTCAAGGAGCAAGTCACAAAAAGATTGAAACTTGGTGGATAAAAACTAGGCACGTGAACCAACAAAAGTACCATTTCCTATTTCTACAGCACGATTCCTTTATCTTGGCATCTAAATTTACAAACACAGAACAGAGAAACGAATCTGCAGTCGCTAATCTACATGGTGAAAGTAAGAAGAGGCTCTTAGTCTCTTACCTTGATGAGTAAGAGGACTGGATTGAACTGGTTGAAATAGAGTTTCTGGAGAACTAGTGGAATCTTCAGGCTTCACAGACCCAGCCTAAGGAGAGAAGAACATCAGAGCTTCAGATTCAGATAAAAAGCGCACATATAGATAAATGAAATAGAAGATTAACAAACCCTAACAGCAGCGCACTCGGTCTCAAGCTTATCCTTAAGAACACGATGATGATAATCATCGGAATCAACAATCACCGTCGTCGTCGGAGCAGCAGCACAATCCCAATTCCCCGAATCGCGAGCGCGAAGTCGACTAACATCTTCGAAATCATTCTGTCCAGAAACAGAAGGAAGAGATTGCGCCGACGAAACTCCGACGATCGCGTTGTTTGCAAGTGGCTCAGAGCTCACCGCCGACGAAGAAATCTCTTCGAGAAACATCTCGAAAGTCCATTCGGGTTGACTGTGGCTGACTTCATCAGCCGTAACAGGCTTGGAAGAGTCGGGATTGAGAGGAATCGGAGGAGTTTCCCAAAAAGGATCGGAGAAATCGTCAATGGAGAAGATACTGTTCATCGCTCTCTTTCTCTTTTCACTTTCTGATTCTTCTTTTGTCGCTTCTTTGCCTATTTGCTGCATTAGGTCCACCCACAATAGAATATTCTCTATTTTTATTACCTACAAAAATAAATAAATACATTTCTATTTAATTTCCTTACATATTCTGAATTTCTGATTTTTGAGTAGTTATTATAATATTAATTAAATATCTATTGTACAACGTCCACTAATGTTTGAGATTATGATATATTCAAATTTCAATGACTAGTTTAATTTTGATTGAACAAAGAAGTTAACTTTAAACCATTAGAATCTATTTTAATTTATAAAAAAAAAACATACACATATTGAGTTAAAAAAAAAAAAACACATATATTAGTCAGTAGAAATTACTCCCTCGTGATGTTTAAAGTTTTTATATACAATAAAAAAATCACAAAAATCTCATTTAATTTATTTTTTATATAAAAATCATTAATTACAACTAATTCAACTAATAGAAAACATATTGTAGAATATAATTGATAAAAAATATTAAATTTATTTAATTTTGTATAAAGAGTTGAAAACATCATTTAAAATAAAACAAAAAAATCTCTAAAACATCACTTAAAATGATACAGAGAGAGAATGCAATATCATCGAAAGCTTAATAAATAAATCACTAGCCTATATTACAAGTTTACAACATACCGGCTTAATGAAACAGGAAGACATATAAATAGAAAAAAATTTCAATCTAAAAGTTTAAATTCTTAAGAATTACAATAATTGGGGCTTTTGCAAAAATGCCACTTTTTCAATGCCACTTTTCAAAAATACCCCTTTTTAAAAATCTTATAAAAAATGCTCTTAAAAATATAAGATTTACCCAAATATGTATGTAATATTAATAAAACATACACAAACTACATTTCTATGTATCTAAAATCTTATAAATACTTTATAAATACCTTATAAATGCATTTTAAATACTTTTAAAATATCTTGTAAAACCTTTGAAAAACATTAAAAATCCTTTAAAATAATTTGTAAAACCTTTAAAAACACCTTATAAAACCTTATAAATACTTGGATCGAGTCTTCAAGTAGTAGTTACAATCCATAAGTACCTTATAAACCTAATAAAACTTTATAAAAATTTCAGATTTAAAAAGGGGCATTTTTGAAAATGGACATATTAAAGGAGCATTTTTGAAAAAGGGCACACCAAAAGGGGTATTTTTAACAATTTCCCATAATTTAAGCAAAAACTTCTAAAAATACTTAACGAACTAGATAATTTTTTCGCGCCATATGTAAATTAACAGTCATTTTCAAAGAAACATATAAAAATAATTTTCATATATATGTAATTCACTCTCTATTCCTTTTTATGGACATAAATCATAAGACCTTAATAGATATGTCACCAATAACACAAATTACTATGCAGGCTTATATTAGGCTATATTACAATAGAGAACGAACCTAAAGAAAACAAAAAACCATATAGATATTTTTCACGCAATCCCCATTTTTAATTATTGCAAAATTACAAGAATCTACACACATACCATACACACAAGAAAAAAAAAAACTTTCAAAAATAGTAAACAAAATTATAATGCCAAAGCTTTCTCTTTTTTTTTTTACTGACTCTCCTTCTTCTCCAAGGCTAATTGGTCATTGTTGATCAGAACAGAATCACCACTCTCATCCTCTGATTCATTCACATTTGTCTTCCTCCGCGGTGACCTTCCCTGTTCTATACCTCCTCCTCCTCCTCCACTGGAGTTTCTCCGATCATCTTTAGAGATTAAGTCCTCAGCTTCAAGCATGTGAATGATATGACCCATTTTAGGCCTCTTTTGAGCATTAGGATCAACACATCTTAACGCTACCAAAAGGGTACGCTTCAATGACCTTAACGACGGTTTATCCACCATCCTCGGATCCAAAACTCCTTCCGCATCTCGATTCGTCACCATTCTCTTCAACCATTCCACAAGATTCACTTCCCCCGGAGCCCGGCTATAATCCACAGGACTCCTCCCTGAAATAATCTCCATAACCAGAACACCGAAGCTATAAACATCGCTCCTCTCATTCAACATCCCAGTACTAGCATATTCAGGAGCCACATACCCAAACGTACCCATCACACGAGTAGTCACATAGCTCATCTCTGAACCCAAGAGCTTAGCTAACCCAAAGTCGGAAACTTTCGAGTTCCATTGCTTGTCAAGCAAGATATTACTCGATTTAATATCTCGATGAACAACTTTAGGCTCGAGACCTTCGTGTAAATACATTAAACCTTTAGCTGTCCCAAGAACAATGTTCATCCTAATCTCCCAAGTCAGAGGACTCTTAAATCCCAACCCACCACCGTGAATCCATTGTTCTAAATTCCCATTATCGACATATTCGTAAACTAACATCCTATGAGCTCCTTCAACGCAATAACCAAGCAACCTCACCAGATTCTTATGTCTCACTCGACCAATCGCTTCGACTTCGACTTTAAATTCTTTCTCAGCTTGTCCTCTGTTGTTGAGCAGATTCTTTATAGCCACCATTGATTTATCCTCAAGAACACCTCTATACACAATCCCATAACCTCCTTGTCCGATCACATTCTCGTCAGCGAATCCATTAGTAGAAACCTCAAGCTCTCTCAACGTATACCAATGTCCCCAGCCTAAATGAGAAACCTCAGGACCTGACGACATAAGTAAACCCTGATCACCCGACCCGGAACCAGTCCAACCTCCTCTCTCCGGGTACGAAATCCGATGATCTTTTCCAATTTCGATGTGAATTTTGCTATCGTCTTCTCTTTGTTTAGCCACAGCTTGGTTTTGGTGTGTCTCCGGTGTCGGGTCGGGTTGAATTGGAGGTCGAGATGGGTCGACCTGAATCTCCTTAGAAACAACGGGAACAATCGTATGGTTAGATTTAGAAGAAGACTCAAGAGCTTTGTTCTTGTTGCTTCGTCTGTAAATGAACCAGAGAGAGATGAGAACAAGTAAAAGAACGATCGCGGCTCCAACGCAAACGCCGAGAACAACCCATAAACGTAAACCAAATATAGAAGTGTGTCTCGAGAGCTGATTGTTGACAGAGTGAGAATCCGCCATTGCAGCTCACTGACTCTTGTTCTTCTTCTTCCTCTCTCTCTCTGTCTCTTTAGATTTTGCTTTTGTTCTGCTTCACATATAATAATCATCACAGGAGGTTTTTCTGAAGTAGAGACAAGAAAAGAGACGTTGAAAAGACAAAATTACCCTCCAAGAGGCAAGCTGGCTTTGATGGGACTTGCACTCATATCATTATTTTACTATATAATTACACTTTTGCCACTTTAACTGTTAAAGAGCAATTATTAAAGGAGGGTAGTATTGTTATTAAAGGTAGAAGTCAGGGGTAATGTGGTCAACTGAATCGTGTTCTGACTTCAAGTTTTTTTTTGCGCGTGGGTCTTTTGGCAGTGATTACAAATCTATCTATCAAATCAAATCGAAGAAGGAGAAGAACAGAGACAAAGAGGTAATGAGTAAAATCTAGGAGCTTTTGCTTTATCTTCGGATCTAAGATCAGGAATTGATTAGGGTTTTTACCCAATTTCGATAATTGTCTTCTTCGCTGGATTGATTTAGGTTCTGGATTTGTTTATCTTGTGTAGTTGAATCAAATATGGCTGGGAGAGCTCCGATCCCTGCTCGCAACTCTGCCCTTATCGCAATGATCGCCGATGAGGTAATATCGTTACCAAAAAACTCATCTTTTCAATTTGTTGATGAAGGATTTGAGGTTCCATTAGTTTGATTCTTTAGATAAGGTTGATTTTTCATTTGCATCTTTTGTGTTGAGTTTTGAATCTCTGAGATGTGATCTGAACTAAATCAATGTGTTGTGTGTGTGTGTGTGTATATAGATTTGTTCATCCGTAAATTGCTTGACTTTTTGGATTTGTTTGTAAAATTTGTAATCTTTTTGGTAGTGAATTCATTCCCTAGAATAGCTTTTTCGTAGTTGTGTGCATCTCTTGATTTTGGATCAGACCAAATCTGCAGATGATCTGATCTGCTGTCACTGAATTTTGATTCCATATGATGCACGAATCAGGAAACTAAGGAGTAGAAATCTTGTTTAAATTCTTCCTAGAAACTGTATTATCATTGAATAATAGGGGATTGTGGTTTTTTTGTGTTAGTCTCAACTGTTCTGGCTAAGATTTGGATTTACTCAATTGTATTCTACCAGAAAATTATGTCTAGTCTCTTATTTTAGACTTAACTTGCAAGTTCTTCCTTGTACAACGACTTGTTACTGGCGACACTTTTTTTGTCAGCTGGTGTTAGCATTTTTTGGAACTATCCGTTGGTATAACCCTTTCGCCATCTCCAGTTTCTCTTACTTGACTTAAATTTTGTGTACAGGACACTGTAGTTGGATTTTTGATGGCTGGAGTTGGTAATGTTGACATAAGGAGGAAGACAAATTACCTCATCGTGGATTCAAGTATGTTTTTCTAACTCATTATGATCTTTAGGAAAGATTATCTTTTCAATCATGTATCAAGTTATGTCACTTATCTCAAGGTGGTATCTTTTTGACAAAATCAAGTTAGTTGAAGTTTTCCATCAAATGAATTTCATGTGATCTTGTTAGGAGATAACTTTCCTAACTTCTATTTCTGTAGAATTGTGTAAATTACTGGCTAATCTTCTAAATTAATTGATTTTTCCTTTCTTTCAATTTTTTTTTTTTTTTTGTCTTTTAGAGACAACTGTGAGACAAATTGAGGATGCTTTCAAGGAATTCTCAGCGAGGGATGATATCGCTATCATTCTTTTAAGCCAATATGTAAGTGGTTTCTTCCAAGTCTAGTTTACTTGTACTTGTTACTCATCTTAACTGCTGTGTCTGTGCTGTGTTATTTAAGTAGTTACCAAAGAAGTCATGACTTGTACTCCTCCACTTTATTGAGCCCCTTATGTTTACTGCCATTAATGACTATCTTCCTTGCTTGCAAACACCCTTTTAGTCATGGATCAAGGTCCCCATTATGTAGGGTAGTTTTGCTATCATTAACAATTAGTATATTAATGGATCCATATGTGTGAGAAACGCAAGGTGAAGCCACTTTGCATCAGCCCTTTGAGACATCATTCATGAGCTTGAATTAGCATGAGTCTATTTCTATGTGCGCTATACTACTTTCAAGTCTGATTTTTTCTACAGTGCCAAAAACTTAATGAGAAAATTTAATACTTGTAGATTGCCAATATGATCCGGTTCTTGGTGGATAGCTACAATAAGCCAGTTCCTGCAATCTTGGAGATCCCTTCCAAGGACCATCCCTATGATCCTGCTCATGATTCAGTTCTCTCCCGTGTCAAGTACCTCTTCTCTGCTGAATCTGTGTCACAGCGTTAATCATATGCATTCTGCAAGCTCACTGAGCCTATATCATTTGTTTGTTTTTGATATTCTTGTATTTCTCCTTCGGAACCCGAAAAATCTACAATAATGTATAACTCTTGATTTTTATTTGGAGATGGGTGTTATATTATTAAGAAGCAATGGTAGCTTCATCTGCTTCTTTGCATTAAAATAAGAAGAATCATTGCGTATTCAAGAGATAAGAGCAAATTTTAAAGATTTAGTGAAGACTTCTAGCTCCTCAAGTCCTTGCTCAGGTGATTCAGACTCGCCCAAGATCTTAACCATCGCGCTACCAACAATGACTCCATCTGCTCCCCATTCAGCTACCTGTAATGTGAAATAAACCAAGTCCGGTTAACAAATTCAATTTCCAAGATATTGCTAACCCAGTGTATGTGCAGCCCAACCTGTTTCACATGCTCAGGTTTTGATATGCCAAATCCAACGGCTACTGGCTTGCTTGTTGCCTCTTTGATTTGTTGTAAAAGAGATTGAACTTTTTCGTTAACAGACTCTCTTGTACCAGTAACCCCTACTGAACTTACCTGAAAAGAGCTCGATAACATTTACGAATAAGAACACGAAATTTAGACGCAACACTTACTGATCTAAAGAATCATGGAACTGTGATTCTTACGAGATAGATGAATCCTTCAGATGCTTCAACAATGGCGTTCATTCGTTCTTTCGGGGTTGTGGGTGTTGTGAGCAGTACCTTGATGACAACATAGTAAAAATGGTAAAGGAAAGAAAACAGTTTGCTATTAAAGATGCTATCATTTGATTTTACTGACAGGTAGAGGAAAACATCATACGAGTTCAATCTGATGCTTTCGAGCTTCGTTCCGCAGAGCCTCAGTTTCCTCGAGTGGAACATCAGGAACAAGAAGGCCTATAAGGAGACACCATGTTATGTAATAAACTGTTAATGTAGAGAAGACAGGAACTAAGAATAAGTGGGAGCAAATGACGTCAAAACTCTGAGCCCTGAGACAACATGAGCATTTTCTTTTACTTGGGAGAAAACTTAAAAATGTTAATGTACCATGGACTCCAGCATTCTTAATAACAGTCATATAGTTGTCAATTCCTCGCCGCAGGATCGGATTGTAATACGTAAACAATGCAATTGGACAAGATAACTGAGGAATAACCTGAAGAAGTTTGGAATAAAAAGAGTCTCTTTTTAAGAAAACTAAAACCAAGAGTATCAAAAATCACTATATGTTCAACATTGAGAGTTGTAATTTCATCATCTATAAGCTATATTAAATGCTAAGAGAGGAAAAGGTAAACAAAACCACACACACCTCTTTGAGCATAGTGATAATGGAGTTAAAGTTGGTTCCTTTAAGTAACGAACGTCTCGCAGCAGCCTAGAAACAATAAAAAGAGAAGCTTTAAGGTTTAGAAGAAGATGACTGAAATGGTGCGGCTTTTGAGGATCGAACCTGGATTGCAGGACCATCAGCTAATGGATCAGAGTATGGAACACCGAGTTCGATTATGTCGGAACCACACGAATCAAGCACTTTAAGAGCTTTTGCTGTAGTAGAAAGATCAGGATCACCAGCAGTGATATATGGAATCAGAGCCACCTATAAAATTGTTTTCAACAACAAATCGAAAATCCCCAGATCAGAATTTGTAGAACGAATCAGAACAAAAGAGTTGGGAAAATAAAAATTGAAACTTTGGAAATTTGATGAAGAGATGTTGTTGCTTACTTTGCCTTGTGATTTTAACTTAGCGAAAGTTTCTGATAGACCAACCGTGGCGGGAGGATTCTTGAGAAGATCCTCCATTTCAAGCTTTCAAAGATGATAATGAGTGTAGCTTTGATTTTGATTTGGAGCTGAGTAGAGAGAGTGGCTTTGACTCTCGTGCAAAACTAAATCTTAATTTAGAGCCGGTTTAATCAATCCAAACCGAACTAAAATAAACCGATCTGAAAATCAAACCGAAGGAATATAGATCCGGTTTAACACCAATCAATCTGTTTGCATACAAATCCAAAGTCTTCATTCTTCAAACTTACTTTCCAACACTGAAAAAAAAACAACTCCAACTGAATAACATTTGGTTTTCCATTGGTTTCATATTTTATAACCCAAAACCAAAATAATTGAACCGAAGATCTAGAATGAGCATCACACTAACTACAATGTTCCAAATAATACAACATATACAAAACAGATTCAATTCCCAATTCTAATCCAAAGATGGTAACTTTGTAACAAAACAAAAAATCAAGTCACTATGGCTTTTATGTATAACAACAAAACCGGACCTTGAAGCTAAATCTGATGATGATCTTCTAAATGGAAAAGATAATATCTTTGCTCAGTTGTTATGCTCAGGCGTAATCTCATTGTTTGTGTCCCCTGCGTTGTTTCTTGTTAACCTGCCGAGCTGAATTCCTGCAAAACCTGCACCAGGACCAGCAGCAGGAACAGAACCAGAACCAGAATCAGGACCAGGACCAGCCTGAGAGCTTCCTTCGTTTCCATTACTAGCTGCAGCTTTTAGGTCTCTCTTTTGCTTCACTTTCTGTGCCCAACCTACAAGACCAACCTGCACATTCTCCTCGAATATAGCTTTCTTGAAGCTACTTCCCATCTGTTTTAACATAAGAAGAGGGTCAAATTTTCAGAAAGAATCCAAAAGATTCTGAAGCTTTTTTAGTAGAATTTAGATTCTTACCTGTGAGACAATGGCGTAAAGAGGCAGTGTACTGTAACTGCAAAGCACTTGGATGAAGACCCTACAGAGAACAAGAAAGATGTCAGTATGCAATGAGATATTTTCAACCAAACAATATGAGAAAGAAAGAAAAAAAGTAGAATCGTTTTGCTTACCCGATGACCAATCTTGGAACAATGTATCTCACCTGTCCCATAATGCACGAGTCGAAGCCATATGTAACCTAAAATAAGAGTCATCAGTCGTAACCATTTTCGGTAAAATCTTGAAAATTTGTTTTTTAACTTTTCTCTTAAAGAACCAGACTTACCCAAATCCAAAAGAAAAACGCAATCTCAAAAGCATTCTGGAAGAGGATAAAATGGATCAAGTAGAGAACAATTTGAGGTTTGCTGAACCAGAAATGCTCATCTGAGGGTTTCACCACTAAGTCTCCTTCAATGGCTACATGTTTCTCTGCAACTTCATGTGCTAACTGTGCAATCACATGCTCCAACTTTGTTCCCACAGCAAGAAGCAGCTTCATATTTTCAAAATAAAAGGAACAAAATTAAGTTTAATAGAAAGAAGATTTTTAGCACATTCCAAGGAAGTGAAATGAGGACAAAAACAAATGACTCACAGCAAAGGGAATAAATGCTATCCAGAAATATGTGTGCCATCCTGCAAGATAAAGATTTGTAGCTTCGATATAAAAGGACTCCAATTTATATTTGGAAAAACGTAACAAAAATTTCTTTTCAAAGATATAAGAAAATGATTTAAGTTTTGTGAAGCATACCGTTAACATTTAGCAGCAGGAAGATGACGACAAAGATCCAAAGATACCAACTAATACCAACAACTTGTTTGAAATCATCCTCTAGAGCGCGCATCATATACTTGTGGAAATTGAGCTTGGGGTTTCCCTTACAATGTGTCTGTAAAAAAAACCATATAGATGTTTAGTCTAAAAGATCAAAAGCATATGTTCTTTATTACAAATTTTCAACTTTTGTAAATAATCAAGATTTTACCATAATGAAACCAAGACGTAAAGTCACGTAATCTGATTTCGTCACTGATCCATAGAATTGCTTGAAAAAGGATTGCTGTCATGTAAACAACATAATCTCAAGATTGGGTAGTTCCAAAGGACAAATAACCAATATAAAACTAGCATATAATTTAAAAATACCATACCGTCCATCCGAGGATGACTGAATCTTTGCCAATACCAAGAAAGTGCTCTTTAATAAAAGCATGGTTGTGTACATGAGTGACCCTTCTTTTCCTGAGAGCTGCAACAAGGAACAGTAGATAATCAAACAATACGTACAATATTCCGCTAGCATATAATTATTCATGAATTTTGCAATTTAGTACCTGTTTCGGGGTCAAACTTCTCATCTGCGATCGAATCCTCCCATTTCTTCCATTGGTGAATCTGCATTAACATAGATAAACCAGAGTTTTCACACCTGAGAACTTAATTTATATATATACATTTAGTGTAGAAAATTGCTATATGGTTTGCGCTCACCCTTGTGCTTCCAAAAACCACAGTAAGGACACAGAATGTCACATGGGATATGGCGAGGACGAAGATGAAGATATGTAGATGGTGCAATGCCTCAACCGAAAGCAATGGTACTTTATGCTGAAAACAAGAGGGCGAGAAGTAAGTACGGATTCAATCAAGTAATAGCAAGAGAAACACCTAACAAGACTATAAGGAGGCTCTAAAGGTATTATAATTTTACCTTTTGGCTACAATAACCAGCTTCAGCAGCAGCATGTTCAGCAAGTAGACGCCTAGTGGTTCCAACAATAGGGAGAAAAGTCTGAAAATGTTCTTTAGCTGTAACGTTTTTATGTTCATTTGCCTCAGCTTCTCGTCTTGAATCAAGTGAACATGGAAGCATATGCAGAAGCACATCTTCTTTCACACAGAATTTGGAAATGAGTCCTTGGAATACCGTCAGTAACAAGGATATGAACCCTAACAACATCAGCTCTGCAGTTCCCAACACGATTTATCAAAGAGCCACAAAAAGCAAAACAATAAAAGTAGTGAGAGATCTGAACTTGTAAGCATTTATAATCTGATACAGTCACATCTCACTTACGATTTAAAGAAACAGTTGGTCCACAATTTACCCTAATAGCATCAAATCTGTAATTCTAAACAGATTTGTCATATATCAACGAACAGTAGGAAAAGGTTCAAACTTTTACGACTCAAACTGCTTATAATTTGATATAACCACATTTCAATTAAAAAATAATAACTCTAGCAACACATCAACACTGCAATCCAAAGAAGATTTGTCACAGATCAGTAAATGTGCAACACAGCAAGTAGTAAAGAGTTTAACTTTAAAGACTTAAGCTGCTTCAAAATCTGACATAGCTACATTTGACTTAAAGATCTATCGAACAATCAATTTGCAGATTTTGTAAACTACGAACCTTAACAAAAAAAAAGGCACTGTGTCATAACCCAGAAAAACAAAAACTGAAGAACAATTTCGGTGGAAACTAAACAGTCACTGTTTCTCAATAGGAATGACCAACACAAAAGATCCGTGGAACCCACTCACAAAACAAAAAAAAAAGGGGGTTTTGATTTTGTATTTTGGTGTGTGGGTGGGTACCTTCTTTAACCTTTTGAAGGGCTTCGTAAAGAGGTTTTTGCTTCTTCTTCTTAAGAACAGTACCGAAATAGTGAAGCAAACGCTCCACCGCCAGTGAAATCGCGACGATTACCGTACAAACTGCGGCGACGACCCACGTCGGAGTGAATTCAAGAGACATCCCTTCTCCTCCGGGACCCATTTTTACTTCTGTCAGAAGAGAAAAGAGAGAATTTAGAGATATAAAAGTTGAATCTGGGAACACAAAATCGGACAAAGGAAGAGTCTTTATTATGTACCACACTGGAATGTCGGGTCGAGGAAGAGAAGATGAAGAAATCAGAAATGAGTGAGAGACAGACTTTTTCTGAGTTTTTTTTTTAATTTTATTGTCCCTCTGTGTTGATTTGTCTCAATAAGTAATAGTACTAATAGCTTGATTAATGGTAAATAATCTTTAAAGCTTATGTAATTGATAACGACCTTAATATAGAAAGAAATTACAACTCTTTCCACATTTTCGTAGTAGTAGTATTAAAAAACTGTGCGGCAAATTAGGAAACGCGTTTTCCACTTTCCAGTTTCCATATTCTTTGTTCGTTTCGTTTCTATTCCGTGTTTAATTAAAGCGTTAACATTATCAATGGTTTTTTTAATCTGTAATAAAATCACATATTCGATCGAGTTCACATTTCTTTGACAGTTGTATATAATTATGAATTTATGATTTATGAGGAGGTCGTGATAGTATGTGATTTTAGACCTTTAAATTCCAACTCATTTGAGCGGTTGTTGTCAATTAATTGCATGTGGTCAACTTTCAGACTCATCTATTGTCTGAGAATCATACCGTTGTTCAAAACAGTAATGCTAATTTATCTATTCTATACTATTGGATTGGATTGGATTGGATTGGATTGGATTAACGTGAATTCAAATTATAGCACAAAGTTGTTAGAAAAAGCGTCAGAGAACAATGTGAACTCTGGTTTCTTGGTATCAAGCATTGATGTCTACCTAATTGATTTGGTTTGAGCGATCTTAAATTAAAATTTGATTTTTATTCCCACTACATAAATTTTCACAAGCATTTAGAAGAATGATGAATTTATTACAATTAGAAATTCTTTTCTTTTTCATAAATTGGACCTCCAAACTAGATATTTATTTTAATTTAAAAGTATGGTTATGAGAAGGAAAAAAATCTATATAATTTAAAAATTCTTAACTTGTATAATAGAATACAAAAATTCTAATAAAGTTCTTAAGATCTTATAATTTAAATTATATACCTTTTTGTTATCTATATAGTAAAAGAAAATCATTTATGATTATGTGTCATACAATTATTTTTCATTTATTTAATTTTACAATCATTATTTCTAAATATTTTGATTCTACTATATGTTATCCATCTTAATAAATTTATGATATTTTGGAACTTTGTAGATTGTGTGCTAATTTTAGTAAAAGAATCTATATATGAGAATTGCCCAATATGTTACTATCTTAATAATTTAATAGATTATATTTTACTAAACTATTTAAAAAAATAAATAGCAAAAGATGTACGTGTGCATAAATTCTTACATAGTATATAAACTTAAAAGCCAAAATGTAAGATTGTTTTTGAAAATAAAAAATAAACAAAAAATGAGTCGTCGAAAAAAAAGGAAAACTAAAGAAAAAAAAAAAACCTACGAAGACTTGAGCCCAAAAAGAAAAGAACAAATACAGAATAAAAAGCCCATATTTTAAGAAATAGTTAAGAAGGCCCAGTTATGATAAAATCCAGCCCATTTGTATTATTTTAAATTTGTTTCTGGAAGGCAAATAAGAAAATGGCAAAAACGAAATAATCTGAAAAAGTAAGGTCCTTTACCAGAAAGATCATTTTTTATAAACAGAGCATAAAGTTTTCACTTTTCTTCTGCTCCTCCTTTCTCGTCTGTCTTCTTCGTCCTCATTCGTTTTAAAGCATCAAACAAAAAAATAAAAAAAAAGTCTGTAGCTTTCGCATGTAAATCTCTCCTTGAAGGCTTCTAACTCGTTAATCGTAACTCACAGTGACTCGTTCGAGTCAAAGTCTCTGTCTTTAACTCTAAACCATGGCTAGTAACAACCCTCACGACAACCTTTCTGACCAAACTCCGTCTGATGATTTCTTCGAGCAAATCCTCGGTCTTCCTAACTTCTCAGCCTCTTCTGCCGCCGGTTTATCTGGAGTTGACGGTGGATTAGGTGGCGGAGCACCGCCGATGATGCTGCAGTTGGGTTCCGGAGATGAAGGAAGTCAAATGGGTGGCTTAGGAGGAAGTGGACCAACTGGGTTTCACAATCAGATGTTTCCTTTAGGGTTAAGTCTTGATCAAGGGAAAGGACCTGGCTTTCTTAGACCTGAAGGAGGACATGGAAGTGGGAAAAGATTCTCAGATGATGTTGTTGATAATCGATGTTCTTCTATGAAACCTGTATGTTCAGTTCTCGGTTTCTTATATTGTTTTTTTTACTTTCTGTTTGGTGTTTGTTTAATAGAAATGGAACTTTTTTGGTAACTTTTGTTTTTGATTTGTGGTAAGTAGTTGAAAGAGTCAGTCTTGGGATTTACTTATGGATTTTGAGATTTTTAGCAATCTTGATGATTTGCTTTATGTGCTTTTTTTTTTTTTGGCTCAGATTTGTTGAATCAAATTGATTTTGGTTTGTTTAGTAGAACTATAAGTTTGAAATTTTTATACTACATAGCTCTTGTTGCTCTATGAGCAACTTCTCACAAGTTCATGTAGCTGTCTGGCTGATCTTGCCTTCTAAGTTGGTTAAATGAGTAATCTTAAGGGTCTTACTTAAATCGTTTTCTTCATATGATCATTAATTGGCCTTGCAAATTGATTCAGATGTAAGTGTTTTCTCTTACAACTAATGGAGTCAATTCTTGTGCAAATGGTTTATTTTCGTCTGTTCTTACTTCTTTTGTGTGTTGTCTGGTAGGTTTTCCACGGGCAGCCTATGCAACAGCCAGCACCATCGGCACCACATCAGCCTACATCAATCCGCCCTAGGGTTCGAGCTAGGCGTGGTCAGGCTACTGATCCACACAGCATCGCTGAGCGGGTAAAGTTTGATACACTTTACTTCAGATTCTCCTTTACATTTCTCTATGATATACAGGTTGTTGGTAGTTGAAAGATGTAGACTTTATTTGTTATCATCTTGTAGTGATATCTTGGTTTTATGGAGGGATAAGCTGATAGTTTGTTTTACTTTGCCACAGCTACGTAGGGAAAGAATAGCAGAACGGATCAGGGCGCTGCAGGAACTCGTACCTACTGTGAACAAGGTCGGTATCTTTCTCCTGGAGCCTTACCTGTAAATAATCTAAGGCATGGGAACATTTCATATTTCTGTTATTTGAAGTTCTAGAAGGCTTAACACTTTCTGTTTCTCCCATCTTTGTTTGCAGACCGATAGAGCTGCTATGATCGATGAGATTGTCGATTATGTAAAGTTTCTCAGGCTCCAAGTTAAGGTATATTCTCTCTTCTACAATTTTAAACTAGAACTTTTCTTTCCTGTGAATTGTCTTTTTACTACCTATGCAATATGTTTAATCTGTTCGTTCATAAGATTAGAGATCTAAAAATCATATCTTTCAAATTCTCTGGATGGATTTCTGGTCTTAATTCTGGTCCCACCATTACCTACCCTTCAACCAAATTTCAATCTGATTAGATCTGTTTTTTAATGTGAAAGAATAAACAAGTCCAAAATGCTTTTGTTTTCTTTGGCATTTAGTCTTTTTTCACTTTTTGTTTTGTCATAGGGAGCCTAATCACAGTTTAGGATTATAATACCATATTCAACAATAATTATAATCATCATGTTCACATTATTAATATAATCTGGTAGATCAAATGCTTCTTATTGTATATCAAAATGCAGTCGGTTACTTAAAGCTCTCGCAAGCGAAAAAGGAAGTCTCTTTACTTTAAAAGATAATGGAGACACTAAAGAAACAGAATGCAATGATGGATTTCTGATAAGATATTACATCTTTTGTTTTAAAATATAAAATGTGTTTCTTGTGAAATCTTCCATGCTCATCTAAAAGTAAAGCTTTTTTAATATAATTTTCATGGGCTAAAGCTTATCCCTTTCAATGATATCTATCTCTCTTTGTCAACTTTGGTAGGTTTTGAGCATGAGCCGACTTGGTGGAGCCGGCGCGGTTGCTCCACTTGTTACTGATATGCCTCTTTCATCATCAGTTGAGGTAACTAAAAACTCTTTAAGAGAAAAAGGAGAAAAGGTAAAAACTTTAGTAATGGGGTTTTGATTCAAATTTTGCTTAAAATCTCAACAGGATGAAACGGGTGATGGTGGAAGGACTCCGCAACCCGCATGGGAGAAATGGTCTAACGATGGGACTGAACGTCAAGTGGCTAAACTGATGGAAGAAAATGTTGGAGCTGCGATGCAGCTTCTTCAATCAAAGGCTCTTTGTATGATGCCAATCTCATTGGCAATGGCAATTTACCATTCTCAGCCTCCGGATACATCTTCAGTGGTCAAGCCAGAGACGAATCCTCCACAGTAGGATCTGTGCAATAAAAGAGTTTGTACAGCAATCCAACGGTCCAACATGGGTTTTGCTTCTGCTCTAATGACTCTGGTTTCTTCTCTACTCTCACACCCACTTGAAAGGTAAAAAAGGTGAAACAGGCTTTGTAGATGGAATCAATGTAGGATTTGCAGTAGAGGGAAAAAATTGTCAAAAAGCTCACTTGATTAAGTATTATTATTATCATTTTACCTTTATTTTAGGTGGACTTTGATGAAAGCAACTTTTTGTTTTCAAGACTTTAGTGGGAGGTTGAGGAAGGAGCTTGCAGTGGTATTATTATTAGTAGTAGTAGTGGGAAGGTGTGGGACCTTGTTGAGTTATGTTCAAATTGAAGAAAAATAAGTATTTGTAATTTGTCACCCCTTGTATTATTATTTATTTTGTATGACTTTGGAGCAATAAAATAATCAAATAATAATTGTTAGTTTGCTCTAGTAACCTTCTTTTGTTAACATTGGAAACATAAAGCAAAGATTTTAGGAGAAAAAGACCATGGATTGTGCTTCTTTTTTGAGTTTTTAAGTGTTTAATTTTCAACTTCCAAATCTGAAATGCTAAAATATATACATTTTGGACAGAACATGTAGCAATTTAAACGTTTACATTTGTATAGAATAGTGAAGATAAAATACAATTTTTTATGGGAAAATTGGATATAAAGATAAATAATTAAATTATCGTCCATCTATGCATTCTATATTCTTAATTGGTCATATATGTTTTTAAATTGGTCATATATGCTTTGATATAATTAAAATCCCATTTATATCCTCTTTTTTTTTTTTGTTAAATCTTGCTAAACTATAAAATTCCAAAATTAATTAGATTACTTTCTAAAAATGATTTGGAGAAAATATATGACAAAAATAATATTTAATTACTTTCTAAGTTTTTTTTTTTTGGCGTAGATAATTTCAAATCTTCTTCCGCTTTAATTTTTTTTTACGGCAACTTCTTCTTTGATTTTCTCTTTTGGGACTGCCCATCGATATGTTGGACGATGTCAACATATACATGCACATCAAAGGCATGTAGATGATCTACGGGAAATAACATCTGCTCATGTATTCATGACCGAATGACAAAGTATGAACCTCCACAGCTAGATTCTAATATAATAGAGATTAAGTAAAAAACAAACCCACAATGATTTATGCAACTTTTTTACATGTCAATTCACTTTTACATAAGTCACTTTCATATATTACGCCTATAATAAACCACAATTTTTTACAAATGTGGTACTTTTGTTAGTTTATAATTGAGTTTGGTTATATTACGTATTTTGTATTTTGTGTAAGTAGAACAACACATTTTACTCATGTTACATATTTTTCAAGAAAAAGTTGCGTAGTTTCGTAATCTTAACTTTTTATATTCGATTTCCGTATTTTATAATTTATTTTCCTTTTAAAAAAAACATTCTAAATTAAATAGAATTTGTTTTCTATTTTTTTGTAGAATATATAGAAAAATATAAGAATGAGTTTTCTAACAATTTTAGAATATGGGTAAATCAGTAAATGTTAGAAAACATATTCTAATTTTTCTAGAAGAAAGAGCAAAGTACATAGAATATGTATTCTAAATTTCGTAGAATTTAGCATTCTAAATACAGTAGAACAAAAATGCGTTCTAAATTTTCTAGAACATGTAGAGTGTATAGAATACATTATCTAAATTTTATAGAACATTTTTTATTTTATTTTTAAATTTTACAGAACATGTACAATATATAGAATACACATTCTAAATTTAAAAGGCGTAGTCTAAACTTTGTAGATTATATTTTATTCATACAAAACGGTAACAAAAATGATATATTTTTGATTTTATAAGTAACCCCATGACTTCTTTATCATTTGCTTACAAACTATTTTGAATTTTATTTGAAAAATTGGCTTAATCAATTAAAAATGGTATATTAGGAATATGTGACATTTGAATATAGAATGCATAGGTGGATAATAGTTTAATTATTTATCCTTTATATCCAAATTTCCCTTTTTTTATTATCTTGTTAGTTTTTGGACAAAAAAAAACCAAAAAAAAAAAAAACTCATCGAAGCTTTAAAGTTATTGATATGATTATGTGATTCATTAAATATTCTTTTTTAGACAAAAGTTAGGAAAATCTTGGTCTTTTAAAGTAACACATACAAGTTTTTTTTATTAGAATTTCACATAAATCTTGGAAGTGAGATCGTAATAAACGAGGATGATTTTGGCAATTTGTTTAAAATGGGTCTAAATTCCAAACCAAGAAGACTACAAAGAGTATGCAAACTCAATTTGATGCTACAGGCGTCAAACATCGCTATAGCCTTTGCGTTATTGAACCACATAAAACTGCGGCGAACAGAACTTAGCTTAGCATGCATCAAGGTCACGGAATTGCGGTGGCTTAGGCTCACCAAGGAGTGTCGTATTTCCTCCTTCTGGTCCACACTTGATCCTCTTCGGGTTCTGAGTTCCATGCTGAGAAACAAAGATTAACATCATGAGAAGTTGGATTTGGGGTTTGACTTAAAGGGTGTGTTCAATCTAGGTTATACTGAACCAATCCAAAAATGCATTAAAAAATTAATCTGAAAACCAAACCAACAGGAAAAAAAAAAAAACACTTTGTTTTCATTTTTGCTATACACAAAACAAACAGTAACCAAAAATAAAATAAATTGTTTCAAACCTCAATCATTTTCCAAATTGTCTCCTAAACAAAACTCAATCGAAATCGGAAACTCCAAAATCAAACAAAGTGAACCGAAACCTGATTGGGCACCCCTTTAGACCGTTAGGCAACCAGATTGTTTTACCCAACCGTTTCAATGTGATAGTATGAGAAAAACATCAGGCAAGTATACAAATGCAATGGGTTAGTTTAATGCCTTACCGGTGGCTTTTCTCCTTTTCTCAGCTTTTCAACAATCTCTACGACTTTCTCAGGTGTGACATCTTCCTGTGTATTGTAGCATAAGATAGTGTTAATACGAATTTACTCTTTGTCGATGTAATCGTATAAACAAACAATAATGCGGGAGAAAGAAAAGTTATTGGATGAGGTTTGACATACGAAATAGTTGTATGTATATCCTTCTGATCCATTCGAATAGTCTGCCACAGTGATCATGGGTGCATTAACACAACAACCCTGTAACAAAACCAAATACATGAGATGAGATTTCATGTGAAAGTATTAATATCGGCAGATGGTTCTGCATGAATTTACAATTTACAGAAAGTAAAGAGATGATGCAAAATCCATACCATGCATTCCATCTCTCCAACAGAGAACAAACCATCCTTGGTGACTTCTGCAAAAACACAATACCAAATATTGTTATGACTGAACATCAACATATGATTTTGTTTATGAAAGGAAGCTCATAGAGCTTTACCACCGCGTTTCACTCCCAAATGGTCTAGCAAAGCTGATTCGATGTCTCGTGAACCACGGATCATGCATGGTGTTGTGCCACAAACTAGAAGGTGGTACTTTCCAACCTATAAAAGAAAATGAAGGATGAGTTTGTGATGCGTGTTTTGACGAGCACAATAGAGACTTGAGTTTATGGGTAGTAGGTACTTCTTACTTTTGCCCTGTTGAACATTGAGTAAAATGTTGCAACCTCATAAACACGGATAGGAGCAACTTCTATAACTTTAGCAACCTGAAACATTTGTTGTATCGTTATGCTGGTAAAATCACATCAACGGGTGTTGTGTTCCAAAAAATGAGGTGCAAAAAATCAAGTCTAACGGCAACAATCAAACAAAAGTGGAAAATGTCAAAAGAAAGATATTTATAAAGACCCACTTCAGAATCTTCAATCAGTAAGAGAAAAGCTGAAAAATACTTAACAAAGACATACTGCATTCATAGCTGAAACAGGGAGCCAGCCTCCATGCTGCTGTTGTGCAAGATCTAGAAGAGGAATAACTGCGGACTGCTTGTAATTGGATGGATAGTAAGAGAGTATCTCCTTAACCTACACAAGTTGGACAAAATGTTAGAATGTCCCAAAATCTGGATGCATGGGAAAATCAAATTCACTGTATACGTAAGATTACTGCAGCGAAACATGAAAGATGCAGTAAACTGGAACCAAATGCACAAGAATGTATTAGTACTTTTAATTCCATAAAACCGGTATTAGTAATTCCTGGATAATCTTTCTCCCACACAACACAAGAAAATCCGTGTTGGCCATTTGGGTCCTTTACTCAAAGTCTCCCCTAAATCAGTTCCAGAGTAGCCAATTCTAAGTATACAAGCACAAATAGGCAATCCAAAATATCAAATAACCCAGTCCTTGCTGTTTAATATTCTTTCGAGGAATGCTAACTCAGAGGACCATAAATAATGCCTAATCAGGGGGCAGGGACTATGTTAACTAGGGTGGTCTAACAAAGCCATTTCCTTTTACTCAAAATGGGGAACGAGGGCTAAAGATTCCAACATTTTCCCGTAGGAGTATAAATTATTTCCACCATTACTAACATTTCACCAGAAAATTCAGTAACTAATGTGACAATCTACATCACCAAATTAGTTCATGTCTGTATTGACCTCTACTGAATAAAATCCCCAATTCGTTCAACACACTGTAAGATTTTCATCATTACCACAGAAGGAAGCGATTTTATTCACTGACCTTAGATTGGTTTGCCTCGGAAAACTCCCATGGAAGATCGGGTTTGTTATCAGGAGAATCCAGATGCTATAAGTAATCAACAAAAATCAAATGCCGACAAATTTCAAATAAAATTAGACAAAATTGAACCATAGATAAACGAGATTATCCAACACTCACGTAGTTTAAGGCCGTCGATAAGCTACGAGACACCTGTAAGAGAGAAATGACCCCGAGGATGAGATCGGGAAACGACCAGAGAAAAACCGAGAGGAAGCAAGGAATTTGAGAATACCTGAGAGGTTGGTTGACGGAAAACTTGGCGGATCTCGAGAAGACGCTTAGCAGCGAGCCTAGCCAGCATTTTCGACAACTTAAGAGGACGAGAGACGCACACGAAGCTTTTTTGATCTGAGAGACAAGGAGAAGCAGAGAAACCAAGGAGCTAGACTCGGTATCTCACTAATCAAATCACCTGGCGCAGGATTGACTAAAGCCTCTCGGGGCCTGCTAAAATAAGCCTGAGTCCAATTCATTATAGGCCTATTACTATTGGGTTACGATTTAGGCCTTTTTTAATAAATGGACTGATACATACGAGCAGGTTTCATTTTATAAATTATAAATAATCCCAGACATGTATACATAAACCTTGCTGGTTGATAATTTGCATCCTCCTCCATCATATATGGGAAATATGGCCATGCCATGATTCTTTGTTATCATCAGAAAAGAGAAAACATCTGCTCAATGGAGTAAATGACTCAGCACCTCAAAACATATATGAACAGAATCTCTCCTTGTCGTATATATCTCTGTCTAGGCTCCAAATATCGTCTTGATGATCCGTTCATAATTCATATTAACCCAACCAAAAAAAAAAAAAAAAAAAACACATCTCCATCACCCACCTATTTTTTATATTGTCATTAACCTTTACCCTATCCGTCTTTATAGCCTAGGAAAACGGTTTAAATATAAAACATTCGTCCTAAGCACAATCTCACGATTCTGATGATTTTTAATTTCGGCGCTTGATTCCTTCTGTTCATCTTTGTCACATTAGCGTTCGATTGGAAGAAATCTCATAAGATTTGTTACCATTTTCCCATCCGCCAATATAACAAACAAAGATACATAAAACTTAAATAATATGGATCAATGATGAATATATTTTGAAAGCAGAGATTCAATCATTAAGGCCATTTCTCCATCTCCATTCAATATCCAAGAAACAAAACCCCACAAGGTAAAATTTGCATCCCAAAAAAAAAAAACACGACTGAATTTTTTTCAAGAGAAGAAAAATAGCGATAATGAAGCGATAATTTTTTTAGGATAGTATCCATATGGACTTCTAATATACAAAGCAGATCCTCCGATGCATTACCTTTCATGAGCCAACCACTTCCATAGTTGTTTTGCCCTAAGCCAAGTACCTGAACATGTTCGGATTCTCCTTGTCCCTCTCCAAATAATCTCTGGTTATTAAATCCTCCATGCGTTTCTTGATCGCCTTGATATCAGGCTGCCACAAAATTACAAATCCAATGAGTTTCATAAACTCATCACTACCTGCATTTTCAAATGTCTCTGTATATCTGTCTAGTTTACCTTGAACATTCGGCTAAGTTGCTCAACACACTCAGAAACAAGCTGTTGATGTCCCAATACTTTCCTGCTCTTCATGATCCTGACAATGGCAGCATCAATTGCGTAGCGTCTGTCTTTATCGACATCTTCAACGACTTTCTTCCTTTCATCAACTGGGGGAAGAGGGATCTGTGATGCAAATCACAGAACTTGATGTTAGTGATGAACAAATATGTAAAACATGACAGAAACTTGCAGAATTTTGAGTAATAATATTAACGTCACAAACCTTGATTCTGCGCATCCTATCGGTGAATTTTGAGTTGAACTCAAAGACATCAGTCTGGGAGACAGTCTTGGTACTTGGCTCCTTAAGGAGAATCTTGTACTTAGCACATGACAAGGAATGAAGCAACCTAACTAGATCTTCATGGCTTAGGTTTAGTTGAGCCAAGATCTCAGTGTAATTTAACTTGTCAGTTGTGTTGAAGAGTAGAAGCACAGCAGCCTATAGAGACGGAGAACGTGGCATCAGAGGCCATTTAAAATATATATCAGTATTTTCTCAGAAACAAAAGGTACCTGGTAAGTAGACACAATTAACTCGATGGACTTTTGATCAAACTTCCCGTTGATGTGACAAGTTCCCAGTGAATAGATCCAGGTAAGCTTCCTGTGTTTCGTTTTCGTTTCATAAAACCCTTTGAAGACTTCAACACACTTGATCTGAAACAAAGAATCAACGAATTAGATCTATCAGCAGCAAACTTTCTCCTTTTCAGGTATATAAGCAAATCAATAGAGTTTTTACCATTTCACTAGGTAGATTTATGTCAAATGATTTGTAACTTGGCCAGAAACCAGTGGTAAGAACAGTGACAGTCAAATCAATCCCAGGGTTTGCAGCAGGGTTATTGCCTAGATAATCCTCGAAACTGTTTTGGTTTTCTCTAGCCAATGTCAAATCCGTAACCTGCAACCAACGGATTAAAATTATACAGAAAACATAAGTCATCAGAGCAAGCACCGCTTTAAAATAAGAAACACAGGGACACTCAAACTAACCATGCCCTCCATCTTAGAAGTAAACTGTCCACCACATTGTTGCTTGAGCTTTGTAAGGATACTTCTCTCATGATCATCATTAGCACTGCGATCAAATAAGAGCCTACGGGCCAGCTTCTTCCTGCAATCAACCATAAACAAAACAGCTTGCAACTCAGTAATACAAGTTTTGTCTATCCAATACTATATTGTTGCAAGGCATCTCCACAAAAAGCTAGTAAAAACAAAACATTACAAGAAAAACAAAGAGTAGAAGCAAAAAGCGGATCCACAGATAAAGAAAGATTGGAGTGGGAGATAAACCTGTAGAACTCAGCAAAAAGATCCTTGTCACTTATGTATGCAAGCAGTTTGACCACCTGCAACAACATTATAAAATTCAGACTGATATCAGGAGACTTGAAAAAGAAATAACAGTTTGACAAAAGTACCTTCTCAAGCGTATCTTCAATAGCTTCATCACTCAGTTTTTCACTTCCCCCCTTCTTGAGAATATTGTCGCAAAAGGTTGCAAGTAGTTCTGCACTTGAGCTTCCAGCTACCGTTTTGTTACAGAAAATCTCAAATGCCTCTTTCAAAGCCTTTTCAAGAAACTTATGTTAGTAACATAACATAACATGAATAAGATAGACAAATGACAAGTGCGGAGAAAAAACATTAGACCTTATGGAAGAGGGTGTGGTTCTGGAAACATTCGGTGACATATACCATGTATTTATCATGAAGTTCAATCACTTTTCTGATAAGAACCTGAAAAAAATGAAAGGGTAGTGAATCGTGAACAATTTTTTACCAAAAAAGAAGTGAATCGCTAATCTCCAAAATATCTCTGACTACTATATCTATAATCGGTTTGTAATTTTACCTGTTCCTGGACGCTAGCAGTATTTGCAGCCTGTGGATTAAAAAACGATCTTAGCAATCACAAACGAAGCAAACAAAACAGAAGAGTTTTCTGAATAAACAAGTAAAATAATATGAACCTGATTTGTAGCCGTGTCTTCGGCCTGTTGGACGAGAGTGTTACCCTCTGCTGTGACATGCTGTATATGAATTACAAGTTACAGTTAATGTCATAAAGCAATTAAGAGACTGAAAGTACACCATGAAGAAAAGATTATCCATTTGCTAATCGTAAACAAAAGAATGAAGATAGGTAATAAACCTGCTTAAAGATGTTTGCAACAGGTTCCAAACCTCGCACAATTTTATGGTAAAGCCTGTACATCCTGGAGAGATCGTCGACCTGAAAGTAGACAAATATACTCCATCAAATAAAGAATTAAGACACTAACTACTTAACAATAAAAACAAATATACTTGCTCTACCTTGTCATCTCTTAGCAATGCACGGCACCCTGAGTGCTCTTTTTCTAGAAGTTGACTTGCATACACTACCAGCAATTCATGTTGTACTTTCTGCATACAAAAGATAGCTAATAAGTCAAACAGATATCAATCTTTAAAACAATAAATGCCAGGACTACACAGTTAAGAAGAGCCTAAAAAGAATTTCTTTACAAATAAAAATTCAAAATCAAGGCTTATGCAATATATATGGTTTCTTCATCAAATGTTTAAGTATAACCATAATTACATAATGCATAATAACCAACCTCAACAAGCTTTGGCTCACTGCTTGAGTGAAGGTAGTGAGTCACCCTCTCCCTCTCCTTCTTTAGACATTCTTCAGACTGTAACATGAAAGCACATAAGTTAACAAATACATCTAACTACTATGAAATGGAAACAAAGTTTAGAAAATGATATCACGAGTCATGCCTTCAACATGTAATCAGGGCAAGAATCTTCCTGAATCCAGCTTGATGCCTTGCGAGAATAGTAAGATGATGTATCTTGAAGCATGAAGCTTTCAAAATCTTCTTCGTATCTTTCCATCTGTCCCATTCCAATCTCTACATAGATATCTAACACGTTTTTCAGTAGAGCCCTATCAATCTGCTCGCCCTCCCGTTCTTTATCAACCTGACAGAAGAACAGGTTATGTTAAACCTTGAATCAGGTAAAAACCAGAGTTGAATGTAACTGCACAACATTATCGATGCCATACTTACAAGTGCTATTACAGCTTCTTTGACCTTAGAATGCAACTCATTATAAACCTGAAGCAAACAAAATCAAGGAAAAGTTAAAAATATTTCAATTCAAAGGAAACTATAAAGTCACAAGAATGAATGCAATACCAGGTCACGGAAGCATGTCAAGCCGACTTCATTCAGTGGTGGAAGTGATCTCCGAGCAATGAAGTAACGGTCAAGATAGTAGAAGAAGCGGGATAGCCATCTAACCATAACTTTATGGTTCGACCATCTTTTTACCAGCTCCCGCAGCATGTATTCATCATGCTTCTCCCTCAAAGCAGGTAAAACCTAAACATAGAAAACAAGAGAGGAAACAATCAAAACTGTTTGCCCAACGTAAGGATCAAGAGGGTACATAACTTCTTGACATATGAAACCATGCAAAAAAAGTAACATCTTACGATTCAGACAATGAGTAAAGCTATTAAAAACTTCACGAGGAGTTTATCAAAAAGAAACTAAAAATCAATCAGACTCACTGTTGAGTTAATATATTCCTCAAATGCTTCACGGTACTTGTCGTAAAGCTGCTGTGAGTAATCATGAGGAGGTTTCTGGGTGCACATGTTATAGATAGTCCTGAGAATCACATAAAAATCCCATCATAAGTACCAGTTACAAACAACTAACCAGTGTAAGGTAATAAACAAGTATAAAACCTACGTGTAAAGCATCATATATTGCTCAGAGTCAAATGCTGGCTCAGGCAATCCTTCCAGAATCCGTTTCAGCTTGGTAATCCCAGTCTGCATATAGTCCCATCCTTGCTCCAAGTCAATAGTCTTGCGCTCCATGTTGACAAACAACTTTTCAAGCTCTCCTCAACCTAAGCCAGCCAAAGAACCAAGGAGAAAACCAAAATTTAAAACAGCAACATTATTCATTCTTCAGAGGTTATAAAAACACATTAACAACCACATTATCGAATTGGAAACAAGTATTATCACCCAAATCAAACCCAGACTATCAGATTGTACGAAAACGAGGCCAGATGCATCAAGAGATACTCGAGAAACAAACCATCCATGAAATAATCACGAAATTACACAGTAGAAATGCAATCCAGAGAGACCGATGTAACCCTAACAACTCCGATCCCACAAAAACTCAAAATAAAAACCTAGATAGACGAACGAACAACAAAATCATCCAAAAATCAATAGTCGTATGGAACAAAACAAGCGAGAAATCGAAACATGTAGTGATATCCCGAGATCTTAAACCCTAATAATCAGAAAAAGGCATCGCCGTACCCTAAACAGACCTTGACGATTACCGATTCCCGATTATACAGGATCGGCGAGAGCTGCTGCGATCGAAAAAGAAGCGAGAGAGAAACAAAACCCTAAGAATCGTTCAGAGAAAAGCGTAGAATAGAGAGAAAGAGAGACGAGACCTTTGAGAAGGGCGGTGAAAAGATATCTCAGGAAACAAACTCGTTCTCTTCTATTATTATTTTTCAGGTCTTATAGATTTTTTATTTTTTATGTTAAAAAATTTATTAATATAAAACAAATTTAATTTCTTACCTTTTCACAGATCTGCTTCAAAACGCTGCGTTTAGAGTTTTCTTTTATTTACTTTTATGCCCCTTTATTTTGCCGTAAACCCTAACCCGATTCGACTTTTCGACAATCCGAAATTTAGGTAACCATGTTCATTGAATTTATCGTTCCACACATTCGAATCACTGAGTCCTAGGTAGAGACGAATTCCCTGATGCACATTTTGAATTCGGTTTGCGTATTGGTCTTCGAGTTTTCCGTCGGCGGCCATGGACGCGTTCAAGGAGGAGATAGAAATCGGGAGCTCGGTGGAGTCTTTAATGGAGCTATTGGATTCACAGAAGGTGCTTTTCCATAGCCAGATCGATCAGCTCCAAGATGTCGTCGTTGCGCAATGCAAACTTACCGGCGTTAACCCCCTTGCACAAGAAATGGTCGGTTATTGATGTTTTTTGTTGATATCGAAAGTTCGTGTTTTTTTTTTAATGGGGTAATAGTGTTTTTGGTATATGGGCAAAGCTGAGAAGGACAAGTCATTCGGATTTTGGTATAAATTCTCTTAAGTGTATTGAGTCTAGCAAAAATTAGAGGTGTTTTTGGTTTGAATTCATATAGCTCGACCTCTCCGTTTCTTCTGTGAACTGTAATGGTGATGGTTCGACTGTTTACATGTCACTTCGCCCGCCAAGTAATCATTTGTTCATCTTTGTTAAAGACATTGATCTGTTTTGTTTCTATTTTTGCAGGCTGCTGGTGCTCTGTCCATTAAAATTGGTGAGTCATCTTAGGATTCGTGAGATCTTTTGGCATAATTACGTATATCACAGAGAATGTTTCAATTCATTGTTGATCTCTAGATGCCTAGTATCTGATGAATTTGTGAATATTCCAGGAAAGCGGCCAAGAGACTTGTTGAATCCAAAGGCTGTTAAGTATCTACAAGCAGTTTTTGCAATTAAAGATGCTATTAGTAAGAGGGAATCTCGGGAGATAAGTGCTCTATTTGGCATCACAGTCGCCCAGGTATCGTTCTTCTTCTTGATATATATTCTGTTTGGATATGCTTTTTACATTCAATGTCAGATTTGATATGTCATGTTGAGGTACTCACTAGACTTTGGTGGTATCTCTATTTTTTGCTCAATGGCAGGTTCGAGAATTTTTTGTTACTCAAAAGACAAGAGTAAGGAAACAGGTAAGGCTTTCAAGGGAGAAGGTAATTGTGTCCAATACGCATGCTTTACAAGAAGATGGTGTTCTGGAAAATAGCAATGCCACAAATCATGTTGATCCCGTACCTTTGAACTCTACACATCCGGAGGCATGTTCAATAAGTTGGGGTGAAGGTGAAACAGTGGCATTTATGCCACCGGAGGATATTCCACCTGACATCAGTGATTCAGACAAATACTTTGTTGAGAATATATTTTCTCTGCTGCGTAAAGAGGAAACATTTTCAGGCCAGGTGAAATTAATGGAGTGGATCATGCAAATACAAGATGCTTCTGTGCTGATCTGGTACTAATTGAGGGTTCTCTTTCACTCACTGTCTTGTGTTATTATATTGTTATTATTATTCCCGTCTTGACTCTTGACAGTCATTTCTATGTGTGCAAAGGTTTTTATCAAAAGGAGGGGTTTTGATACTTACAACATGGTTGAGTCAAGCTGCTAGTGAAGAGCAAACAAGTGTCTTACTTCTTATCCTGAAGGTACATGATTAATTTACTTGCCTGTAAAAATATTCAAAATGTTGTATTATGGATAATTGATATTTAACATGCAGGTTCTCTGTCATTTGCCTCTCCACAAAGCATCTCCTGAAAATATGTCAGCCATACTACAAAGCGTTAATGGACTTCGTTTCTATAGGACGTCAGGTGTAATTTCCGAAAAACTTAAATGCTGTGTAGCTTTCATTAATGCCAAAGTTCTTGTGATTTATTCGATTTCATCATCTGATTTGAAGATCAGACATATCAAACAGGGCAAAAGGTTTGTTATCAAGGTGGACTAAGTTATTTGCGAAAATCCAAGCTATGAAGAAACAAAATCGTAACAGTTCGCAAATTGATTCGCAGAGTCAATTGCTTCTGAAACAGAGGCAAGTTGTGACTTTATGTGTCAACTAGATACTTTTTCTTACCTCCCATTTTGTTGTTTAGTGGCATTTTACTCATAGACTTCTGTCTTTGTTATGCAGTATTGCTGAAATCATGGGTGATAGTAGCAATCCTGTAAGTGGGGCAAAACATGATTCTATTTCTATTTCTATTACGTGCTCCATATCAGTTCCCTAAAACCTTTTTTCGTGTTGTAACAGGAAGATATTCTTAGTCTCTCAAATGGAAGGTCAGAGAATGTCAGGTATCAGTTTGGTTGTTAAATTCCATCTTAAATAGTTTCCCTTTTGATTGTTAGGTGGTTTCATAATTATTGGTTATCTTTTGGTCCAGGAGGTTTGAATCGTCACAGGGTCCAAAACTGTTGCTTACTTCTGCAGATGATTCCACCAAGAAACAAATGCTTGGTTCAAATCCATCATGTATCCTTGCGTTTGCCCTCTTTTATAAAAGCACCAGTTGATTTACATTTTTCTCAATGCATTGGATAAGTTAGCATATTGAACTCATTGGCTACTTCTGTTATTGAGTCGGTATTATACATATGAAACCTGCTATGTCAAGAGAGCAACCAAATACTTCGCATCATGTTATGGTCCTTTTCCTAGCTCCGGATAATCCTTCGCTTCAAAGTTAGTTTCCTTAGCTTGCAGCAGATAACAAAGAACGCAGGAAAGTACAGATGGTGGAACAACCAGGCCAAAAAGCTGCTGGAAAGAGTCCTCAGACAGTAAGAATAGGAACTTCAGGTCGAAGCCGCCCTATGTCTGCTGATGATATTCAGAAAGCAAAGATGCGTGCCCTTTATATGCAAAGCAAGAACAGTAAAAAGGATCCTTTACCAAGTGCTATTGGTGATTCGAGAGCTGTAGTTCCTGAGAAGCCCTTGGCTCTTCAGTCCGCCAAGGATTCTCTACCTAGTCAGAACAATGAAGCTAAGTCTGAAGATACACCTGTACTTTCAGCTGTTCAGCCCGTCAATGAACCTTTGGCTGGTCAGGCCGTCAATGGACCTTTGGCTGGTCAGCCCGTCAATGGACCTTTGGCTGTTCAGCCCGTCAATGGACCTTCGGGTGGTCAGCCCGTCAATGGACCTTCGGCTGTAATTGTCCCGGTACAAGCTGATGAGATTAAAAAACCTTCAACACCTCCTAAAAGCATTTCTAGTAAGGTGGGAGTTATGATGAAAATGAGTTCACAAACTATTCTCAAGAATTGCAAGAGAAAACAGATTGATTGGCATGTACCACTAGGTATGTCATTCTTTGGATTTATATCTCGTTGACCACTTATGGAATAAGCTGAATGTGACTTTTCAGGGATGTTTCATTAGTTCATTTTTATTTTGGTGGTTATTTAGGTCTCATTCTAATGCCTAGTTTTTTTCAGGAATGGAACTTGACGAACTCTGGAGAGTGGCCGCTGGTGGTAATAGCAAGGAGGCTGATGTTCAGAGAAACAGAAACCGGCGAGAAAGAGAAACATTGTATCAGTCTCTTCAAACTATACCGTTGAACCCTAAGGAACCATGGGACAGGGAAATGGACTATGATGACAGTTTGACCCCTGAAATTCCATCTCAACAGCCACCAGAAGAAAGTTTAACGGAACCACAGGATTCACTTGATGAACGAAGAACTGCTGCTGGTGCTGCCACAACCTCTTCATCTCTAAGCAGTCCCGAACCTGATCTCGAGTTATTAGCTGCGTTACTTAAGAACCCAGATCTTGTTTATGCACTGACTTCGGGAAAGCCCAGGAATTTAGCCGGACAAGATATGATAAAACTTCTTGATGTGATTAAGACTGGTGCACCACACTCAAGCAGTAGCTCAAATAAACAGGTTGAAGAAAGGGTCGAAGTTTCTCTTCCATCTCCCACTCCATCAACTAATCCTGGAATGGTGCGTTACTCCAAAACCTATGCACCCCAAATTCCTCGCACATATCTTGAACCCCAATAATAGATCATGTTACCAAATTGAATCTCATGATAATTAGTGATTAAAAAAACCACGACACAGAGAAAAAGGAAAAGAACTACAACAGGCTCTAGCTATCACCAAACTGGATTATGAATTCCAGCTGTTAGATCTAACCTGATGAATACAATAATACCCTCATTAGAAGATGTTGATGTTCACTATTTCTTAACTTATAACTGATTTAAGTGTGTTGTTCCATTTTTACAGAGTGGATGGGGACAAGAAGGGATTCGGAATCCATTTTCAAGGCAAAACCAAGTTGGTGCTGCAGTTGCTAGATCGGGTGCTCAGCTTCGTGTTGCTTCAATGCAATGGCATCAAACAAATGAACAATCGATCCCACGACATGCTCCATCAGCATATAGTAACTCGATCACATTGGCTCACACAGAAAGAGAACAACAACAATATATGCAAGCAAAACTTCATCACAATTTACATCTTCAACAACAACAACCAATCTCAACAACCTCGTATGCAGTTAGGGAACCGGTAGGACAAATGGGGACTGCTACATCGGGTTCATGGAGGTCCCAGCAGAGTCAGAACAGTTACTACTCACATCAAGAAAATGAGATTGCATCGGCTTCACAAGTTTCTTCATACCAAGGGAATAACCAGTACATGAGTAGCAATCCAGGATATGAATCTTGGAGTCCTGATAATAGCCCAAGTAGGAACCATCCTAACATGAGGGGACAACAACAACAACAAGCAGCATCAAGGAAACATGATTCTTCTACTCATCCTTATTGGAACCAAAACAAAAGATGGCGTTAAACCATATATATGAGAACTTTGGTCCTCAATATTTGTTTGTCAAGGTTGAATTAGCATTTTACTCTCTTCAGACACAGATTTTCATTATTAACTCGCAACAGATTCACAAGAGATAAGAAACTAAAAGAAAGAACGGATAAAAAGTTGTTACTGTCTCAATTGGCTTCAAGGCTTTTCAAATAAGTCTTCATCATTATTCGACTAATTCGAAATCTGAACCAATTTTGTAACAGAAACACGGTTTAAGCCGGATTACTTGTGTAATTGGAAAATTTGGTATACAATGTCAATTTTTAGTGAATCTTGTCTGTTTTTGCCCAAAAAAAAAAAAAAAAAAAAAAAAAAAAAAAAGTGAATCTTGTCTGTATCTGAATCAGTTCTGTAACCGGTCAAACTGGTTTACTTCTGTAATTGGAAATTGTGGTATACAGTTTCTGTAAAGATTGTTCTTATTGGTACCACACAATTTTGGATGATGTTTTCACAAATTGCCGGGTTTTCTTTAACTAACTAATAGTCTAAAACAAGCATCTTCGGATTAAAACTTGGTTAAGGCCATTAAAGATCATACAATCTAAAATTGCAAAATACAAAGTTAATAGCCGGTTCATGTTATCGTTCTTACTTCTTACGGTTTCATGGAACAGGATAGGTCAAATTTAAATTGTCCCCTCGAATTTCCGGATTGAATATATGATACTCGTTACGGAATTAACCACAATTTTGTTGGTAATAATAAATTGTTCTAAATTCGTTCACAAGTCTGAAGTCTCTAATCGTCTCTAAACCCGTAATAGACATGAGCCATTATCTAATTATGTTCATAATCTTGCACCTTGGAAAGAAAAAGAAACAGAATTATAAGATTCAAAAAAAAAAAATGAAGGAAAGGAGATGAATGAGAGAGAGCCAAGGATCAGATAATTGTAGTCTGAGTTTTGGTCGACACAATAAATTAATATATCCGAATAATCGTTATCATCAATTCATTGGCTCTTTCTCATCGTCAAAACACAAAGAAGCAAACCAAGAAAACTGAATTAGAAGTGAAGGCTCAGAAGGATCCATTGGTAAAATTTTCTAATCAGAGTATTCCTCATAAAATAGGTAGTTTTTCATCATCACTGCCTTCACTCTATACCCTAATTTCGCCAAAACACGAATTGAAAAAACAAAACCAAAAACTATTCAAATCTCCAAAGAGAATCACAATTGAAAACTGTCGAACCTAATTAAACTACGAAAAGAGAGAGAGAGATATCGAAACATGAATAAGAAAAATCGTACAACAAGCTACTTAGCAGAATCATCGTTCATTAGAATGAGTTGATTGAGAAGAGACATTACAGGCGGCAATATATAAGACAATGGAGGAAGCTAGGGTTTACGTTTTAGAAAGACTTGGGTCGGCCCCGTTAACCCAGGAAGTTTGGGCCTTGTAAATTTCATAAAACTCGGCCCATTAAGTATCTAGTTTTGGGTCTGACCCGTCGTTATATTCGACCCGGAAAGCTTTTCAATGTTCATACATGATGCCACGTAGACCGAGACGAAGAGAAAAGGGAGTTGAGAGAAATTTTCCGGGAAAAGGCAAGAAAATATCAGACAAAAACGATTATTCTGGGTCCATTTTTCAAAGGTTTTTTAAATACGCACCGTTTAGTCAAAGCGATAATGGGGAAATTTCTTCGACGACTTTCTCGAGAAACAAGTATTCAGAGAGAGTGGGTTCGAGAGAAAAAAAAAAAAAAGGGAAACCAAACCCTAATCGAGCTTCTCTTCTCGGAAATGTCGCACTTCCGCCACTTTTGACTCCTCCGTTCATCCGCGGCGATCTGAATCACCATCAATCTGATTTCGTTTCTGTGTAAAGAAAGGTATACGCATTTGATTTCTGTATCTCCTCATTTGGTTCGTTTCATTGCGTTAGGGTTCTACTACTGAGCAGCTGATTTGAGTGAGTTTCATCAGAGCTCTTCTTCGAATGTTGTTGATTCATCATTTATAAATTTTCTTTGGCTTCCTCTTGTCATGAAATTGAATCAGGAATGGATCAATATGGGATTCCAGTACAGAGAAAAGAGATGAAGCATAAGGGGAGAAATGTTGTATGGTCTGTTGGAATGGATAAGTGTTTGATTGAAGCTTTGGCTCTCCAGGCTAAAAACGGGAACAAAGTCGACAAATGTTTCAACGATAACGCATACACTGCTGCTTGTGTTGCCGTTAATGCTCGTTTCAATCTTAACTTGACTAGCCAGAAAGCAATCAATCGCCTCAAGACCATCAAGAAAAGGTACAAAGTGATGAGAGATATACTTAGTCGGGACGGATTCTGGTGGAACTCAACCACTAAAATGATCGATTGCGAAAGTGATGAGCTCTGGAGAAGATATATTGCTGTAAGTATATATATATATATCTCATAATCCTTGCTCTTTCACTAAAAGATCATCCTTCTTTGTGCACCATTATCAGCTTACAAATGGTTGGAACAGGTATACCCAGACGCAAAAGCATTTAGGGGAAAGCAAATTGAGATGTACGAAGAACTTAGAACAGTATGCGGTGACTATCAAACTCCAGGTAAATATAACAAAGTTAAGAAGGAAAGCAGTCATCATCTTAACCGCTTTGAAGAAGACTCTGTTTCATTCCCTTTAGCAGCAAGTTCTGAAGAACATAGCGATACAGATGGAACAGAGTCATACGCAGGAGCAAGTGAGTATATCCATGAAGAGTCTCAAGATCTTCCTCCTCCTCCTCGAGATCCTTTAAGACGACCTTTTAAACGTTCTCGAAACTCGGATCCATTTCAAGAAGCAATGTTAGCGCTTGCTTCTAGCATTCGCCGCCTAGCTGATGCAGTGGATCAAAGCAAAACTTTGATTAACACAGAGGAATTGTTGGAAGCAGTGATGGAGATTGATGGATTGGAAGAAGCAAAACAGATGTATGCATTTGAGTATCTGAATAGTGATCCAGTCAAAGCTAGAGCTTTCATGGCTTATAATAATAGGATGAGGAAGATGTTTTTGTTGCGGCAGTTTTGGTGGTGGAAGTAAAATATTGGTTTGCTTCTATGGCCTAAAGAATCCTCCTCTTCTTTTTGGGTAATGTAGATGTCTTTTGAAGTTTGTATTTGTTAATGTTAAAAGTTGGAAATATTTGTTGAGGCCAATTTGGTTTTGTTGTGAAGTCATTTCGTCTAGTTGAGGCAATTAGGATTTCAAACCAAATGATTCAGTTTAACAATTTTTCCTTTTTTTGGTAATATGAGGGAGACAATGTCTCCCTTCTTTATTGAAACTAAATTAAAAAAACTTACAAACGAACACTTCGTGGGCGCGTAGATCCACTAATATCCTCTAACAAAATAGAACGAACAACCTTAAGACTAACATCAAAATAATGAAAACCTAAAAGAAGTGTAAACGCATAGTTCGCTAACAATTTTTCCTTAGTATAAAGTTTAGCAAGTTCTCTTCTAGAAATTCTCAAATGTGTTATAAAGCATCATGGCAATTTTATTTTGTCTAAAGATGGTTATTTTGGTTTTTAAACTTGACATATTCTCTAATGTAAAGTTTAAACTCCAAATACTAAACCTTAAAATCTTAAAATTAAACCCTATGTTATGAATAAGTGTTTAATTATGGTGAATATAAAATTTAAATAATAGAAAAACTTTTATACATGTTGAAGGTTTGAGATTTGTGATACGGAATAATAAAGAACGCGAGGAGATAAAAAATTTGTTGTAATTTCTTTTGTAATTGAGTTGTGAAGTGTTACAATGATCGATTCATTGTTCTATATCTTATATATTAAAGGAGAAGTCAAAAGTGCTCACGTTCGCTCTCAGAATATGAGCAGTCGTTTTTACCCCCTTCCCTTTAATTAGATTAAATTAGTTAAATTTCCATTTTGTTAAAAAAAAAACGAAATTCTGAAAAAAGAAAATAAACGATTTTCGTTTCTTTAACCCTAATTTGTTCATTCGCTTATTGGGCTTATACTTTTACGGGTATAATTTACACCGTCATATGTAAAACTCTAAAACTTTATGCTGAAAAATCCTATAAATATAGGATGCCTCCCTTGAAACTCATACATCACGGCTTGATTTTTATGCATAGCAATTATGGTTTATAGTACTTTTTTGTACCTCAAATTTGGTCCTTTCTATGATGCATCGTCGTCGATTTTTTTTTCTTCTTTATATGTTATGGTCACTTGGAAAGTAAGATCTCAAAGATCTTTGCCAATTCGTGATGAGTTGTTTACGCGAGGTTTATAGTTTGGTCGATTACATGTTTTGATTTTCGTAGCTGTTTGGTTTTATATATGCATGATAATTCTCATGACGACTTTGATTAGCACTTCTTTCTTTCCTCAGGTACAAGCATAAACATTTTGGATCATGGAATTGCAAACGAAGCTCAAACCAAACTGAGGTATGTCCCTAATCTTGCTTGATTTATGCGTTTTTTACCAAAAACAAAATTAATTTTATTGCTCTACTATTGCGTGATCATATAGTTACGATCATCAATCAATCGACTGTGCGGCCTTATTATCTTTGGTACAATCTGTATTCTTTTACGTGTTGCCTTTTTTTATAACGCATTGTTTTATTGTTTTAAATTTATTTATGTGATATGTAAACTTTAAATCTGTTCAGTATGATGTGTTCTATATTATGGAATCTATGAAGATTATTCATCGGTCGCGACGTGGTCCGGATCGTATGAAAAAGAGGGCACAAGTCGATATGGACTGGAAGATGTGTTTCCGGACTTATAATTATCATTATCGTGTTATTGATATCTCGATGTATTTTTAGGTTTTGGTTATGATATCTTGTTTACTATACTAAATTCGTATTAGTAAACGAAATCTTTTCCGTATTAATGAATGAAATATTTTTGAATATGTTGAGCTTATCGTCTTGGGAATAATATTACCCATATTCTGATTCTAATTTTTTTACCGGAAAAATATTCGCTATTGAGAATATTAATACTCCGAATATATATGCGATGGTTTATACCTAATCGACGGCATGACACTTTATATCGGTATATCATGTGAACTATAGCGTATTTGAAACTATCTTATTCGTTTAGCTATACCCAATTTACCCGTTCTTAGAGAAATAAAGCACGATTAACCTTAAAACGTATGCTGTTAATAATGATGAAATATCGCATCCGTTTATTTTAAATGTTATTAATAATTTGAGTTACATAAATCAAGTTGAAACACATATATATCAATAATAACTATAGCAATATATATCTCATTTTCTTTTTTATATGATCTTTGTGGTTGATTTGATATGATCTTAACAAATAGACTATATTATGGTATGTATTACTTGAGGTTATCCTATACAATTTTATTATACACATAATCATTATTTTTGTAATTAGAGATTATACTATATAATATTATTATACAAACAAAATTGTTAAGATAATAACTACTTATTATGTTTTACTACCAAATCTTTCGAGATTGTATTTAATATTGATATATACAAATATCGGAAACTTTTAAACAATTATTATAAACACAAATTATTACGATAAGAACTACTTATTCTGTTTTACTACCAAATTTTTCGAGATTGTATTGAATATTGATATACAAATATTCTATACTATTAAACAGTTTTCTATTTTTCCGTTTTGCTGATTATAGAAATTTCCGTATTATAATTATTATATATGTCTATATGTTTTGCTCATAGGAAGTTAGATGTTTCCATTTTTTTTTTTGGCTAGAATGAATATGTGAATATATGAATGTTGATATTTTAGCGGAATAATCTGTGGATATCGTTTACGGTTTTTCCTCTTTATGTAATTATATGTTCCATATTATGTTAGTTTCTTTTTTAAAAAAGTATTTAAATGTTATACTAAATATTCTCAGTATTTTATTTGGTAACCGCGAAGTTTGGAGATGAATATAATGTTTTTGTAATATTTACCGATTTTTTTGTGATTGTGTGTGTATCACGACGATTTTAAAATGTTATTTTTCTATAATTATATGACTTTGGTTGAGTCTATCCGTATATATCTCTACCATATACCACCGTGATTAGCGACTAGACATACTCGATTTTTTGTTCCCAGTGTAAGGATCTTTATTAGATAATGACTACAACTTCGTTATGATATTCTTGCTTTATGTAACGATTTAGCCCTTTCTGATCCTTCTCATTACTTAATTTTTCCAGGTGATGAGGTACAGGATGTTTGACGATGTTTCAATCTTGAATTCTTCTAAGACTGATTGGCTTATCCGGGTGCGGGTTCTGAATGTCTGGCACCATGAAGAGCGTGGACTTGGCACAAGTCTAGAAGTAATCCTGTCCGATAGTAAGGTTTGTGAATTAATGTTTTTTTCCTTATATTATGATTGTTGGATTTCTGTTCTAATCATCCTTTTTATGTTTTTCTCTTTTTGTTGGTTTTTTTTGGAAGGGTACAAAGGTGCAGGCTTCGTTTAGAGGATGTGCTTACCATCGTTATGCTTCTAAGATTACTTCTGGTGATTGGTTTGATTTTAAAGATTTTAAGGTTGTTGAGCAGTATGGTTCGTGCAGGGCCACTAATCATCGATACAAAATAATTGTTCTGTACTCAACTGAAATCGATATAGCGTCTGTTATGCGCGATGATTGTTTCTTTGATTTCGTTGATTTTAAAAAAGATAACGGATGGCGTTCATTCTGATGATTACTTGGTTGGTAAGTATTTTAAGATAACGTTTAAATTTATTTGTTAATGGATTAAACATAATTGTGATACTAACATTTATATAAATAATTCTCAGATGTTATCGGGCAAGTCATTCATGTTAGTGAATTTCTAACTTTGGATCGTTTGGATGGTTATAAAAAGGACAACGGTTCCGAGGATGGTGACTCTCTACCAAAATTTTTTTATCTTAAAAGATTGATTAAGACGTACCTAAAGCCTCCTGGAGATATCGTCAAAACTGTGAGTACCGGGTCGTTGGATGGTTACAACAGTGATGATGTCGAAGAGCTGACCGGTGACGGCGATAGTGACGAAGCGTCGTGTACCGAAGACAAAGGTCGTGTAGAAGATGGTCCTGAATATCAGATTGAGAACGATGAACAAGATACTGACACTGACGAGGTCAACGATCGCATTGCGAGTACTGACGATGATGCTTCTGAGGTAAGCGAGGACGAGTACGATTTTGTAGATGACTATGACGAATGCGATGACAGTGATTGTGCGGCTGAGTCCGATGATGATTTCTATGAAGTGGAAGAGGACGATTATGAAGACGGCGTCGAAGATGATGAGGAGGATGTTGACTCAGAATATAGCGTTGTGTCTGAGTCGGAGGAAGAGAACCTCGATGGTTGTGATGGTAAGACGATCGAAGAACGTAAAGCTGTCAAATTGGATGATTATTCCGTGCATCATAAAATCTCTTTTGATCTTTGTGACTCCAGGTACATATTTTTTGTCTTATAACTTAATATGTGAATGTGTTTTTTATATATATATATATATATATTGACACTAAGTTTATGTTGTTGTGTTATAGTAATAATGTCTTGAAGTGTGAATTGGTCGGTTATGAGGCAGTCAATTTCTACAAGTCTTTTAAAAAGTGGCAATACGATGTTATTATTTGTGTGATCCGATGGGGTGTCGTGGACGTGTTTCAAGGTACGTACGCATTTGTATCCTGATTTTTATTTTATTGATTTGCTGTGATTACCATAATCTTCTAGAATAATAATAAGTTTTTAATGTATATTAGATAAGCTAACTATAACTGCAACATAATGCACTCAAATCCGTTTGAATCCTGGCATTCCAGAAGTTGCTGAGTTTAGGACATCGTGAGTCGTTATATTATGAATTCTTAGTTTTACGCGTGTTCTCCATGACTAGCTTATATAATAACGGTTTTAAATTTTTGTTTCGTAATAGGATCTCAAGGAAGCGGACTCGCACAAGTGTTCCAAAGAAGAAATAATTATCTCTGGCTTCTGATTGGGGATATTTTACTTTATGACTTTTTATTCTTATGGGTTTTTTTCCTTTTTACATTTTACAATACTTTGGCCGTTTACGTTCTATTGAAATATCGTATTCTATTGTCACAATCTTATTACTCACATGATATCTTAGATAATTTTGTTGTATCTCATACATAAATGATAATATTGTCAATCGATCGATATTTAGAAACTTCCGATATATAACATATTTATCTTCTATCTCATACGAAATTGCTGCTTGCGATCAAACGAAATATTGATGTTTCGTGTGCCTAGGCGATAGTTTGACTTATAAAAAACAAATTGGATTGACAGTGTATATACTATCAAATAATGCGACGTTATCTCGAGATATTGAGGATTTGATCATCCTAAGTACTCTTTCATATTAACTTTAAACAGTTATTATCCTCTCAATATTCACGTCCAATACTAATGAGATTATTGACGTCATGGTACGTGAATGGCGCGTAATTAGTTCGATATGATTCCTACGAACAACATGTAAAATATAACGTTCGTCAAACCAAATCTTATGATGCTTACTATGTCGGTTTAATTAATAGTATTATATATATTTAACACAAATTGTTAATAAGATATATACTGAACACAAATTGTCAATAATTAAACTTACTGATAATGGTTATAGATATTTACCTTTATCACTACAAGCGAAAATCTATGATAAAGGTAATTTAGCATCTTCGAAAACTCTTCAACTAAACTATATATATAGAGAGCGACATTCCCTTGCTTTCCAAGTTTGAAAAAAACAAACCTTTCTTTGCATCTCTCCTACGATGGCTCATCTACGTTCACATGCTATTAAAAAGAGAATTGGTAAGAGAGAGTGTCTGTTTGATGTTTCTGCTCTGAATCCTTATATTCATGAGTGGAAAATTAAAGTCAAAATTTTAAGAAAGTTCACATGTCCTTTCACTTGATACAAGACCATTGATTTGATCTTAGTTGATAACAAGGTATTTTTTCTACATCATAATATAATTTTTTACCTTTATATATGTTAATATACTGACTAATTAAAAAGATACATATATATCTACATATATAGGGTCAGAAAATACATGCCGCTATGGGTATTGAATTCGAAGACATCTTCTCTATGAGACTGACAGAAATATCATGGATAAGTTTGTCGAGTTTCTCTCTCAGTCGCGTGATTGGAACATTTAGGCCTACCGATCATCGTTTTATGATACACTGGAAATCGACGACTTGGTTTAGGAATATCCAACCTATGAGTTATGACAATTTCTTCAAGTTTGCCTCTTTTGAAGATATTAAAAGCGGCTCTTTGGACACAAATATATGCGTCGGTAAGAAGGCACACCATACCGCCCTCATTTAGTTCAAATATCATAGAAAGTTGTTTGTTCTAATATTGTATTTGATTCAAAAATTCTAAATACAGATCTGATTGGAAGGGTTGTGGCCGTAGGGAATCGGAATGAAGAAGGACCTCCTGACAATGAATGGAATGAGATTTTTTTCGACATCGAAAACATCGACTTACCGCGCAAGGCGCGGATACCTGCCCTAATATAGAGGTAAAAGGATAAGTGCACAACGATGAACTCCACACAAATTATATAACATTTATCACATGTACGCAGTACGTATCATTTTTTTACTTTGTGAATTTCTTAAAAATTTGGGCTTAGCAAGTTAAATCAATTATCAACTAACACATCTTATACCAAAATCTGAAACGCAAAATACTTAAATTTTTCCGACTTTTGATTTATTTATTGTTTCCAAAATATTGTTCTAGCGAATTGAAAATGTAATATAAACTTGCTACCATTGTATGATTTTTTTAAAAAATATATAATTATAACATTCTATTAGTATTTATATTATCAATTTCTCACACACACAAATTATGCTTCATTTTGAGAAAATTTTAAAATATCCAAGAAGAAAAGAAATGAAAAAAAAATAGTGAGAGTGAGTGATTGGAGGAAAATAACACAACGCAACAATCTAACAAAGAGACCTTATCATCATCATCTTCATCACTTAAACCCATACATAATAAAACCATTCCTCTTCGAAAATGCCAAGTACAAATTTCAAAGAAGAAGGAGAGAAGCAAAAATGGCGAAATCACTCCTTTGTTCATCAACCTTAAACCCTTTCTTCTCCACTACTCTCTCTTCTTCGAAGAAGAACCAAATTGCATACTCAGGAAACAGCAAGAACCAGACATCGTCTCTGTTATGCAACAGAAGGGAACTGTCGCTTGGATTTATGAGCAGCTTAGTTGCGATTGGTCTCGTGAGTAATGACAGAAGAAGACACGACGCGAATGCAGCGATTCTTGAAGCTGATGACGATGAAGAGCTTCTGGAGAAAGTGAAGCAAGATCGGAAGAAGAGGATCGAGAGACAAGCTGTTCTTAATTCTGCTGTAAAGGAAAAGGGTACTTCTTCAATTTCCCTCTAATCTTTCATTGAAATTATCAATCTTTCATCTTTGTGTGTGTGTGTTGCATTGAACAGAATACTCTAGTTTTAACAGTTTAATTTGGTTTGTTCGAAGGTCGTTTACATTGAACCTGATCTAGTTTTGTTTCATTTATCTTCCTCCAATGCTACATAACAAAACTGATGGAAAAGTTTACTCTTTTAGAGACAAATGTTTGTTCTTTGTGTTAAGGTCCCAATACTAGTTGGTTTTGTTTCATTTATCTTCCTTCAAGGCCGCATGAAGTAATCAGAACAATCTGATGGAAAAGTTTAGAGACAAATGTTTGTTCTTTGTGTTAAGGTCCCAATACTAGTTGGTTTTGTTTCGTTTATCTTCCTTCAAGGCCGCATGAAATAACCAGAACAAACTGATGGAAAAGCTTTACTCTTTTGAGGACAATTGTGTTTCCTCTTTGTGTTATGGTCTTTGTTAAATGGTTTGTTCCAATGCCATTTAGATTTAACCCTAGTCTGATTTTGTTTCATTTATCTTCCTTCAAGGCCACATGAAGTAATTGGAGCAAATTGATGGAAATTTTGAGAACTCTTTTGGGACAAATGTGCTTTCTCGTTGTGTTATGGTCTTCATAGTTAATTGAAATGTTGTAATGCTACTTGCATTGATCCCTAATCTGATTTGGTTTCCTTTATCTTCCTCCAATGCTACATGAAGTAATCAGAACAAATAAATGGAAAAGTTTTGCTCTTTTGGGGACAAATGTGTTTTTTTTTTAAAAAAAAAATTGTGTTGTGGTCTTCTTGGTTATCAACCTAAAAGCACACATTTTACAGGGTATTTGCAGGATCTTGTTTACAAGTTAAGCAAAGTAGGACAAGCCATTGAGAACAATGATCTACCAGCTGCAGGTTTGGTTTTGGGGAAAGGCATTGATACCGAATGGGTCAAAACCGTTAATTTGGCTTTCACAAAGGTATTTCTTGCTCCTTTTAACTCTTCACAAAGGTCAAATCTATTAGTTCAATGTGGATACAACTGGTTAAAACATAAATATATATATATATATATGTATTGTTTTTCTTTTACATAAGGTAGACATTGTTTAATGGTTATGTTACTGTTTGTTGAAAAGTCCTTCCTTGTGTCCTTGTGACAGTTGAGTACAAGCCCAGAAGAGAATACAGAAGTGGAAGCATTTAATTCATCTTTAGCTTCTCTTATTACATCAGGTCTTGTTCTTCTACCTAACTTTTTCATTCATAAGAATCAAAATTGTCATTAAAACATTGTAATGATCTCCTTGAAACTTGGTTTACGATTCCTTTTTTCGCAGTGAACAAGAACGATATAGAGTCATCGAAGCTTGCTTTCGTGTCATCGGCTGGTGCATTTGAGAAATGGACGACTTTGACAGGTCTTTTGGAACAGCTTAAGGGACTGTGATAGGCTGCTACAAATTCTTTACTTTTTTTTTTTTTTGTATTTTTCGACAGATTTGTCAAAGAGGGTCTTTTTTTCTCCAAATTGTCCTTTGAATAATCCACTTTCTTAACTTCTTTGGTTATATACATTTGATCATGCTTACCATGCATCAATATCAATATGGTTGATTTTTCCATCGAATTCCACATCAAAAGGAACCAAGAAACCATACCAAAACTTCTTTGGTTATCTAAACCAAGTAAAAAAAAGTACTCCCTCTGTTCCAAATTAGAGGATGTTTAAGCCTTTTTTTCTTGTTCCACAATATAAGATTTTTTCAGATTTTTATGCATAATTTATGTTTATTTAGTTTATTTATGATCTTTTGAATTCTGCTGTCCTTTTTTCTATTGGTTAAATTTTTATAAATAAATAAACATTTATTACTTCTTAATCTTTGTGCTTTTAACAAAAGCATCTTATAATTTGGAACAGAGGGAGTAAAAACTAAACACCTTTCCATTTGGTTTTTAAAAAAAAAAAAATGAGAAACCTTTAAAACCGAGAAGGCATACCGACATAGAGCATCACCAAATTACCCGAAACAAAACTGAACCCAAGAAGGAGGCAAGTTACTAGATGAAGTCGGTAGGTGGAAGTTTGAGTCATTTGGCCTTTTCTCAGAATACATTGAATGCTTTATTAAAACTTTATCTCATAACCAATGTAAATGCAAATAATCAAACGTTAATCAATCCAATTCAGCTTTGAAAAATCCTCCAAGAAGAAGAGTCAATATTGGTTGCGACGGTCCTGTAGAGATACTATTAAACATTAATGAGAAAGCAGAAATGCTTCTGTATAAATACCATCACTACTTGTGTCTTATTTCACCACCTTCACCTTCAACATCAAACATCACATCTCTTACTCAGTCTTCAAAGAGTTTCTTAGTAACCAAATCAATGGCAGGTATCAAAGTTTTCGGACACCCAGCTTCCATTGCCACCAGGAGAGTCCTCATCGCCCTCCACGAGAAGAACCTCGACTTTGAGCTCGTTCATATCGAACTCAAAGACGGTGAGCACAAGAAGGAGCCTTTCCTCTCCCGCAACGTAAGTATATCTATCTATCTATCTACGTGTTGTTGTAAGACAAGAGACCAACTGTTTTGATGATCTGGTCGGAATCTTAAGTGTTTTCGGTTTGAACTTCTTTCCTCTTCAGCCTTTTGGACAAGTTCCAGCCTTTGAAGATGGAGACCTCAAGCTCTTCGGTATGAACCTTTTCCATGCATCATCTTCAATCTCAAATCTGATTTGACAATAGGCATTAGAAGGCAAAATCACTAACATGAATTGGATCTTTTTGTGCAGAATCAAGAGCGATTACTCAGTACATAGCTCACCAGTATGAAAACCAAGGAACCAACCTTCTCCAAGCCGACCCCAAGAACATATCTCAGTACGCAATCATGGCCATTGGAATGCAAGTAGAAGCTCATCAGTTCGACCCAGTGGCTTCAAAGCTTGCTTGGGAACAATTATTCAAGTCCATCTACGGCTTGACCACAGACCAAGCTGTTGTTGCAGAAGAAGAAGCTAAGTTAGCCAAGGTCCTTGATGTCTACGAGGCTAGGTTGAAGGAGTTCAAGTACTTGGCTGGTGACACTTTCACTTTGACTGATCTTCACCACATTCCCGCCATTCAATACCTGCTCGGAACTCCCACCAAGAAGCTCTTCACCGAGCGTCCACGTGTCAACGAGTGGGTGGCTGAGATCACCAAGAGGCCAGCTTCAGAGAAGGTTCTGTGAGAAATTTCTAAAAGGAAAATATGGTTTTGCTTCAGTCACAGTAATAATGCTAAAATTAAATAAGCGGCTACCTCATTGCCCAATTTCTCAGTACTTTCTTTCTGTTGTATCCTCTGTTTTTGTTTCAGTTATGTGAGTGTGTGTATGTTCTCGAGAGTATCTTTGGCAAAAACTATTTATCTAATCTTCAAGCTCTTCTAAAATAAATCAATTAGTTCACTAATGCAAAGATTGCAATGTCTTAACTATGGAGTTACTGACTAGCGAGAATAGTATACAAGGACTTTAGTATTGTGGAAATCTTACTTTGGAACGTTTCTCCTGGGGAAAGAAGTTTACTTAAGACTTTGGACGTTCTTATCCTGAAAGTTTCCTTGCTTTATCAGGTCTGAAAATGACAAGTAATATAGACGTTAGATTCAAATCAGACAAAACAAAACACATCAGATTTCTGGACCTATTCAAGTCTCTATAAATTACAGAAACGATTAGAGCAGTAAGTTTGAGTGTTTTCACCATCAATCACGGATCTTCTCTGACTCAGCAACGGGAAAAGACACAAGACGCAAAAAGAGAGGTAGATATAAATCCTAAGCCAGATCGATTAAACTGAATTGGTTTGTACCTTGACCGCCTCATGTTTGTCTCCAATGGTTTCCTCGTCTCATCCCTCCCTCTGATGACTTTGTGGCTACCCAAAGAATTGTGAGTAAAGCCAGCCATATATTTGCAGACTCTGGTCATCCTTAAGTTAGAGACTTTGCTACATCAAATATTCACATAATCCACCAAGAAAGCAAGAAATAGCCTTTATTCAGAGTTTGTCTGTTATTATCATCCAGCTTACTTCACCACGATAATCCAATAATTTCCGGAGGTTATACAGATTGAAAATCTATCACAAAGCATTTTTATAAAACACATACCATTGCCTTCAAGGTATCAAGGAAGAACAGTAAGATCCTGGTGAAGAACACAATGAGATAAGGGTTCTAGCACAAAATCTTATGAACAGGGTATGCAGCTGCTTAAAAGATTCTTCAACGAGCGTTTACTATCTTCTGCAGAAATTTAAGAAACAAATTAGCAAACTCAAGCCAAGCAACATCATTAACATGAGAAGTAGAACCAAAAGAAGACTGAACTAGGCTCCATTATCTGAAGAACAGCAAGAGAAGCTGAGAAGGGCTACTGAAATTGAAGAATTACTGATACATGATAAATCCGACGGGAACCTCTCAACAGAACCAAAATACAACTTTGATAAACTTCAACAAAGTTTTTATTAAAGTGGGGAAAAAACATGAACTAAAAACCAGTAATATAAAAAAAAGATCCTTCGGCAGCATTCATCCGCATATTTAGTACATGCTGTACTTGTCGTTTGTCGCGTCTGGTCGAATGCTCTTGTAGATGGACATGGCAATTGGAAGAATGGCCGTGAGAGCAATCTGCAACTGATCTGAGCTGCTGGTTCTGACTGTGATCTGTCCGCTCATCTTGTTGTTAAGTCCTGCACGAAGCGCGATCTTTGAGTTCCTTCCAACAGAGAGTTGAGATTGGAGATTGGCTCCTAGGGCTAAATCACCTCTCCACTTCACCAAAGACAGCCCAAAAGAAGATTGGTCCTGTCCAATTGGGAAATCAGCTTCCCTAAGCCTGACCTCAAGGTTCGCACCATAGGCCGAATCTCCCTGTGATCGCATTGTCCCAGTGCTGCCCACAAGCACAAACCTTTTCCCCAGTGCTATTTGGTCCTCGAGTTTGACACCAGTGGCGATGTTCTCTCCCAAGAATGTCACTGACCCTCCAACAGTTGTCTTGTTCTTCCTCAAGTTCTTGAATTTGGTTTCTCCTCTGACCACATATGCCAGCTGCTTACCTACATTCTGAATATCAAACCCTGCCATGGTGGATCCATTCTCGCCGTGCTTAGCAGACACCGAGGAGTCCAGATGAATGTTGAACTCTTTCTTGTCCTTGGTGACTTGGACAGTAGCTGTGGCAGGGAACCGGCTTGCTACAGCAAGACTGAGTTCTGCATTGACGCCGTCATATCCACAGTCATGGTCCCAACCATGGGTGTCCAACACTGGCCTGGTTAGGAGTTGTGAAGTGGGTTCAAGAAATCGGTATCGGTAAGCTGAGTTATCACTATCAAATGAAGGTGGCAAAACCATATCGGGTAATGGAACTGGCACTGCAGCTGGAGCCCCGTTTTCTGGATCATCTTCTTCTCCCGGATAACCAAACTCACTCTCACCCACCTTCTTCCCGTTTTTCTTCATTTCTTTCATCCTCTTCAATTCCTCTCTCCATTGCTTCTTCTGCAGGAGCTTTACCCGGTAATCATACTCCTCGAAATATGCCTTTCTCTGTTCCTTTGAGAGTTTTGCAAGTTGGGTTTTTCGAAGAGGCTTAAATGGTGGCAGCTGGTCATACTCATCATCTTCCCCATCTTCCTGCTCAGAATCAGACACATCATCAATTTCGATATCAGAGTCAACACTATCACCACCTTGGTCTCCGGGGAGCTTAGGATGTGCACGGGACTGCAACAGCCAAGACAACAAGTAAGGGAGAGGCGGGGATCGAACTCGGAAACCGAATACTTTACGATGATCCAATGGTTCTTGAGGCTTCAAAAGAGAATTAGCTTCTGACAAAACCTTCAGGGAGTAACACAATAGCAACAGCTGGGGTCTCCAAGTTTGGCCATTCGGGAGAACCTTCACTCCCTCCCGGTTCTTCCTACACAAGGGGTGATTCTCAACAAGAGAAACTGGATTCATCAGACTTGGATTCATCAAGCGCAGATCTCCAACGGCCTGCCCTATAGACTGTTGCACAATATGTGAGCACTGTGCTACAAACACATCATAGCTCAATGGGGTGCCAGATGGGCCATCAGGAGGGGCAGAAGCAGCATGGGTCAATGTTACTATAGCGTTTTTCCATATTGATGTACCGAGAGAAGCAGTAATCGTCCTTAGCAAGGGCATATTGTTCAAGTCCCTGGTCTGGGTGTCAAGACGATCTACATATAGTACAATATCAGGGGGACACTTCTTCATTACCTTCTTTACAGAGGACAACATTTTTGCATTTGCACTTTGATCCATCGCAGCAGACTTCAAACCCGGAGTATCAATAAAGGTAATCTTGACACCACCCACGGTTTCAGAAATTTCTCTAACCGAAGTGGTTGAGAGCCCAAAAGCATCAATGGACGCCTTCTGATTTCCCAAAATGGAGTTTATAGTAGCACTTTTTCCCACCCCAGCTTTTCCAAGGACCAGTATGTTTAGAGAGAAGTTCAAATCTTCGTTGCCCTCAGCCTCAGACTCCACAGCCTTCTTCTTCGCAGCATCAAGACTGAAAAACTGCCCTGTTTGTCTCCCAGCAAGTAGTGCAAGACGGTAAAGAACCTGCGCTGCGATTGAATCTTCTGCCGAATGCCCCAACTTTTGCAAAAGCCGCAAAAACTTCACACGGAGACTTTGCAACTTTTCTAATTTCTCTTTCTCTTCCTCGCTCAAGTTAACCTCAGTCTCATCTGCCATTGTGACATTAGGATTGGAAAAGATGTTGGAACGGTTTGCACGTGGAGCTGCTGCAGGTTTCAAGGGCCTTAACGATGAACTCAAACCAGCAGGTCGATCCATAGAGAAAAGCTTCGTGCCATCCTGAGATGTTATGGTAAAGTTGCCACCTTCTGAACTTCCACCACCAGTGGCTGCCTTCAAAAGCGCAGCCAAAGCTGCAGAATCAAACATTTTCTCCTCACCTTCATCCTCTGTGTCTACATCCTCGTCAGAATCGGTGACAATCTGGCCATCAATCCTATCTGACATATTGTTAGAAATGTTTGCTTCGTCAGAATGTGCCTCTATACCAGAAGAAGCCTTTTCCAGCTCTGCTAAGAACTGTTTTGCAGCTTCAGAACTCCCAAATATCATCTCTTCAGTTTCTTCTTCACTTTCAGACCCATCAACCCTGGTAACACCTTCGCCAGAAGGTTCCTGGTCCACTTCCTTACCTTCAAAGCTAAACTCACGAGAAGAAACAATGTCTTCGGCTGGGAGCTTGTTTCCACCCTCTTCAGCATTGTCCCCTTCGAAAACTTCCCGAACTTCTGGGTTTTGGTTTGCTTCAAACTGTGACTGAGCTGCAGGATTTGAATCCTCTTTTGCATCAACCGAACCCACTGTTAAACTTTCAGAAACGGGCGATTCTTCTACTTCCACACCTACTTTTGGTTCGTCAGGCTCTACTTTGGCTGCCCCTGACATTTCCTTAGCAGCCAATTCAAAATTTCCATCATATGCAGCAGTCAGGTCATCAGGTTCCTCAATATTTGGGATGGTCTTGTCAACCTCATCATCTCCATCATCTTCCTTAATTACAGCCTCCTTCGCCGCCCTGACAACCACAACCCCTGGCTCTGCAACATTGATATCAGCATCAACAGATTCCACCACAGATGAATCAACCACAGAGTCTCCTTCACTAGTCAACTTCTCTCCTCCCTCCTCAGTGGCTTTAACAGATTCACGTTCAACTCCATCACCTTCAACTTGGCCAACTGGATCAAACTTATTATGCACATCAGTGATCTTACCATCAGTTTCCAGCACCTCACTTGCCTCTACGTCTCCAACAACAACAACCCCTGGCTTTGCCACATCTACATTCACAGCTTTTATAGCAGATGAGTCCACCACAAAGTCTCCTTTGTTGGTTAACTTAACACCTTCTTCTTCATCATCGACTACGCCACTGAACACACTCTCCTCCTCTTTGGTTCCATTGTCAGCTACTGCAGTAGCTGCCTTGATTACCTCAGCATAAGTCATACCCTTCTCCAATCCGTTAGTTTGTTCCACATCCTTTGGTTCAGTCCCGCTCTCGACAGCTACCACCTCTGGCTCTGCAGCATTGGTATCCACAGATTCTAATTTAGAGGAGTCTGCTCCGCTACTCAATTTTTCTTCTACCTCCTCAATGGCCTTATCAGACACAGGTTCCAATTCACCACCATCATCATCCCCAATTTGATCAAACTTATTTGCCACTTCAAGAGTTTCAGCATCAGCATTAATGTTCAACTCCTCACTTCCCTCTGCGTCTCCTACAACAGCCACCCCTGGTTTTGCCACATAAACATGCACAGATTCTACAGGGGACGAGTCCACTATGACGTCTCCTTTATCAGTTAACTTCACACCCTCTTCTTCAATGACATAATCACTTTTATCGTCAACATCAACTTTTCCACTCAACTCACTCTCCTCCTCATTGGCTCCACTTGCCTGTGTTACCTCATCAACTTTTTTTGCTCCAACATCTTCTTCTCCCACATCCTTCACTTTACTCTCACTCTCCCTTTCTGGATTCTCATCCACCACTATTCCATCTGTGGAAGCCTGTTTCTCTCCAACATCAACACTCCCATTTTCAATCTTACTCTCACCATCGTCTTTAATATCTTCCACGTCCTCATTAACCTTCTTATTCTCCTCCACAACCACTAGACCATCAGAAACAGCCTCCGGCTTCGGAGATAGCAATGACACACCATCTTCCTCAATTGTACCATCAGAAACAACCTCAGGCTTCGGAGTAGCCTCGGGAATAGCAGAATCATCCACCTCGTCAGAAACTTTCCCGTCACCCTCCAAATTCGGCTTCTCCTTATCAGATAAATCATCAGCTCCAACCTTATCCGAATTACCAGACAAAGCCTCCGACGAGGAATCCAACTCCTTGGCACTACTCACAGCACCACCATCCTCCTTATCGGCGGCTGCAGCAGCAGCGGCGGCGACAACAGAAGCATAGGTTTTTCCTGTAACAAAATCCCTTCCGATAAAAACCCTATTCCCAAAAACGCAGATTAAAGAAGATAGAAACGAGAAAGAAACCTGATTTCCCCGAAGCGTAGAAGGGGTTCGTTGGTTCTGGAGTTGCCGACTTAGAGTCCATTTCCGCTTTGCTACTGAGAATTTATCGAACTCTCTCTCCACCAAACTTGTGGAGGAAGGAGATAGCGATAGATAGGGTTTAGAGGAATTAACCCTTTTTGTGTGAAGATTTTTATGATTGAGAAATTGGCTGCTCTCTTTTGAACAAGAGAGAATTGGGAGAGAGATAAGGTCAGTGAGCGAACAAAAAATGACTCTCTTTTTCCTTTGCTTTGGGATTTTATCTTCTCAGTTTGGTTTTGAGGATGATGACGAAATTACCAAATTACCCTCGATTCTAAGTTGGTGAAGTTTCCAAGGCTCTCTCTATGTGCTGCTGCGCTCTAAAACGCTGACGTTTTATTGGCTCAACTCCGTGTTCAAAAAATCACTAGGCGCTAGTCGGTAGGTCCGAACATAAGTACTCGTTATTCGCTTTGTACCCGCTACTCGGTTCGTACTTGCCTTAAAAATTCAAGTACTCGCTATAGTCAAGTCGAGTAACAATTAAGTAAATTCTACTACTTGCAAGTAAGGATCAAGTACCAAATATCATAATTTTTTTTTATATTTGCCCTGTTACTCGCTCTGTTTTAATACTTGCCCGACTCGTTATTTGATACTTGATACAATAATTACTTGTACCCGTGATTTGTTGCTATTTCCCTTCTCTTGATTTCAAATAAGTGAAACTAACAATACAACATAGTAATGTCCATTAAACCCAATAGTAAAACTCTAGCCCAAGTAGTATTAGATTGCTTTTATATTCAAATTCTTTAGTTCAAGTACAAGTACTTGCAAGTAACAAGCCGAGTCAAGTTACTTTGCAAGTAACAAGTCGGGTCAAGTTACTTGCAAGTAATAAGATTTGAAACGAGTACTTATTATAGCAAGTACTTGCTCAGACGAGTCAAGTATCAAACCTAAATTTCAATTACTTATACGGACTAAGGCGGGTCACAAGTACTTAAAAATTAGCAAGTACTTGCCTTGTGCCCAGCCCTACTAGTCGGGCGGTGAGAGTGGACCTAACGCCTAGCAAGAAAATCGGAGATTAAACGGGATTTAATCGGGGATTAGTTTTAGGACTATTTAATATTTTCAAAACATATTAATCAATTAAAATTAAGAAATTTATATTGTTTTTAAAATTGCATTAAACACATGAAAACAAGATTTTAAGCTCAAATTTATGATTTTTATACAAATTACGAATATATAGGACGTTTTAAATTTTAGATATATAAAAAAAAAGGGCTAGGCACCATCTAGGCAGACAAAAAATCGGACCAGCGATTTTTATTACCGATTTGGAAAAAATTGTCGTTGTTCCCCTCCGATCAGCGCCTAAGCGGCCGATTTTTAGAACAGGGGCTCAACCCAAACAAAATACGTATAAACAGTTTTTTTTTTCTTTTTTTTTTGAAGAAGTAATAATCATTTGTGGTTAAAATTTGAAAAATAATGTTTATTTTTGATAAGTTTTTGTCAAGAATTTTCAAGAAATTTTGAATAAAAATAGAAAAATAATGTTAATATTTTATTCTCTTTTTGAAAATATTTACTGTTTAATCTTCTGCTTTTATTATGCAAAATTCTCCAAATGTTAAAAACTTCCCCCAATGGAAAATGTTTGATGAGCTTACTAAATCTAGGGTTTTTGAAGTCATGAGAATTAGGGTTTTGATATATCTTCTCTTTACTAAAAACAAAAAACCACACACACAAAACCAAAAAAAAAAATAATAATAATAATTATAAATGAGATAACATTTGAGATTGCGTTTTATAAAGAAGAAAGAAATCTTTTTTGTATCTTTGTTGATTCTCCCAACCCGAAATTGCTTGGCCACAAACTATTTTTCCCACCATTATCTACGAATTATCTTGGATTTTTGTATATTATGGATTCCATATATTAGGCCGGGATTATAGTTTTCACATGGGCTTTTTATAAGGCCTATCCATAATAACAGCCCGTATTTTCGTAAAAAAAAACCCCATACTACATAAGAATCTGACCACATACCAAATTTAATTTTTTGAACTATACTCAATATGATTTTTGACATTTACATACCAAAAATAAATAATTAGTTGATAGTTTAGTTAAATAAGAAATCAGGTTTTTTAAAAAAGTTCTTGAATTAAATTAACACAGATTATTGATCCATGAAGCTACAAAATCTCAAGTTCTAATGGATTACAAAATAAAAAAGGAAGAAAAACAACATTTTGATTTCGTAATAGAACTCTAGAAGTAGAGACAACGTAAAACCAAAGAATAAACTGATGTCTCTGCACAATACTTTTATCATCCATCTTAGTACAACAAGAAGCAAAGACGTAAGACATAAATATGGCAAGTAACAGAGCACAAATCCTAAACGCAGATCCGATTCAAACTTGATTGGTTTGTACCTTAACCGCCTTAAATGCCGGGTGAAGCAACCCGAGCTCGTCTTTCATCTCCAACGGATTGCTAGTCTCGTTTCGCACTCTCTTGACTTTGCGACTAGCCAAAGATTTGTGAGTGAAACCATAGATTTGCAGAATCTGGTTATCTCCAAAGTTAAAGGCTCTGTCCATTTGTTTTAGACAACGTTCCACCGGGTAATCACCAAATTTCCCACAGGGTTTGCAACCGACAAAGTGAGTCACCAATGGCCATCTGTGATCGCCTAGACCCGGGTGGTAGTTTTCTATCATTTCTTCATATCGGTCCACAAGAATCCCCCAGTAACCGTGAAGATAGTATCCACTTTCTAGGTACACCTATAACAACAGTGCAGTGGCTCAAATAAGTAGCTCAACAAAATCCAAACCAAGCAAAGATTTGAGTTTACTTCAATAATAGACCTTACACAGATGTTAGAAACCACAAGATGCAACTCACATTGTCATTTGGGATGACCAATAGACATAATAAACAACAAAGTGCAACTCACATTGTTATTTGTGAGCCAAAAAACGATCTTTACGTGATCAAGAGATGTTATAAACGGACGAGACATCTAAAGTTTCCAAATTTAGAAAAAATTTTCAGATCAAACCAATGATGAAATGGAATCAAGTTCACAGCTTTAAACCAGTCAAATTCAGTTCGTACCTTACTGCCCCAAGCGTCTCGCTGAGTAGCCAACAAATAAACCATAGCAGACTGATCATCAGCTTCGAACACCGGCCTATCCTTGAGCTCACGGGTCAAAACCTTACCCGCTTCCTCACGGATCTTCCCTTTAGGACCCATAGGAGCCCAAGTATCAAGCAAATCAAGTGCCCATTGATTGTTCCTAAGCAAGAAACTCCCAGTATTCAACCCAATCCAATTCTTCTGATCATAAACCATCTCATTCCATCCATGCATCACCAGATTGTAATCTTTATACCTCTCCCATGGAAGCTCAAAAGCCATATCCGTAAACATAGCATCACTATCCATCCACCAAAGAAACTCAATCTCAGGATGTGACAACAAAAGCTTCCTAATCAATGGTAGCTTTGCCCAAAAACCAGCCATCTCCGCATCAAGAAGAGCCATATTATAGAAGATCTCGATCCCATGTAGCCTACAGTAATCGATCTTGTTCTTGATCGATTTCAAGAGGTAATGATCACCGACAGGATTCTCACATGGTTTTGGCGCCGAACCAGTAACCAAAAGGACACGTGGCTTGTTTGGTCCGATGAAATTAGGGAAGCTAGGGTTCTTAGCTAACCAATCGGATCTCTGCTCATCCCAATCTGATATCTTGGGTCCGAGAGTGTAAGGTTTATTCGGGTCGGGTTTTTCTTCTTCACCTTCGTCAACGAATATCTTGTTGATGTCAAACGTCTCATAGTTATTACTCCCACCGGAATTACCTCCACCGTCACCGGAGGAAGAAGAAGAATCTCCTCCGGTCTGGATTTCTTCAAGAACACGGTGAGGCTCTCCTCGTTTGCGTGCGTGGAAATGTTGACGGATCTCGTCAAGATCTTGCTCCGGAGTTCCGAATTTACCGGCGCCGATTGTGCTACGTAGGACAACTACGGTGAGAACAAGACAGAGAATCGTTACCTTTAATTGACGTAATGCTCTTTGGATTCTCCGGCACCGGTAAGCTCCTAAACACCTTTCAATCATCTTCTTCTTCTTCTTTCTTCTTAGAGGTTTCTCTGTAAAGATTTGTGCTTTGTGTGTTTTTAAGAGAAGATCTGAGTTTCCATTAATGTCAGAGATTCGAATTTGATAATCTGTTAATTACCAAAGTTACTACTAGAAGAAGAGAAGAGGAGAGAGTTTTTGTGTTTTGGACACGACAGTTAAGATTGTCTGATTTCACTTAATTGTCGGTGGTAGTGCTGTGTTAGTAGTGTTGTTGACACATGGCGAGATTGTAGATAGTGTGATTTGTGATCAATTATCTTGACCGTTGATGAAGTTATAGATCTATAAAAAACTAAAAATCTATGAGCGTTGAAAAGTCAACTCGTTGTTGTTTTTTGTAGTTTTAGTGGAAAACTCGTTTTTTTTTTTTTTTATATATAGAAAACTAGTTGAAAAGAAGGAGCATAAATAGCAAAATATTTTCAACTTATTTGATATAGTTATATTACTAATTAGAGGTTAGTAAGTTACCCAAATGACTTTTGGAATTCATTATATTGAGATATGTTTTTTTAAAAATGGTCTTTGATTTTTTTTTCTCATCATGAAAAAGATGCCACCATTACATAATGAAAAAAAAATTATCTTATGAAAAACATCAGAAATCAATATCCACTATTACATCATGAAAATGAAAAACATCAGAAATTATTAGCCACTAAGTACATTATGAAAAAATATTATATCATAACAAAATATCAAACCACTTGTGAAAAATATCAACTACACTTAAAACAACATCATTGGTAGGCTCTTAAGATTGGGCTCTTAACAATAGTTTAGTATTAAAATTATAAAGTTTAGAGTTAAAGAGATTGTATTTTTGTTTTTAATTTTTATGTGTCTTTAATGGTAAGCTCTTAACTTATGGTTCTTAGAAAAAATTTAATTTAAAAATGAAATTAAATTAACAATTTTAATTTTAGAAAACTTAATAATTATTGCAAATTAAATTTTTTTAAACATATATGAGATATAATTTATAACATAAATCATAATAGTTTTAAACTTGATTTCTGGCAAATTTTGTCCATATATCTAGTGGAATTGAAATAGATTGGATAA